GGTACCTTTTAGGGTATTGAGCCGAAAAAAATATGACAGGACATAGTGTGTTAGTTTAGAAATGAGTACCACTTAGCGGGGGGGGGGGGGGGNTTTTTGGTTTGTCGTAACTTTCTTGATACTGAGCGAAATCTATTATTAACTTATTTTCTCTCGCTTGCTTTCTTCGCGTGTTCCACTTAACTTCCACAGAGAACAACGCTCCGACGATTTGCCGTCCTTTAACGCAATCGCTTTGTTTAGGTGGAGCTGAATAGTCTGCATCATCTGTAGGAGGGCTAGGTTAATGTTCGCGACAATGAATAACTAAAACAATTATTCATTCGCACTTGTTGGATATGAGGTGATTTTATTTTTATAGCAATGTACATGGGCAGTGCGCTGAAAAAGGAATCCTCAATTCACTTTTATCGCAGGAGTATCTCAATGGTGTCCGGGGATGCATCCCCCTTCCATAGAAACGACGAGGGTACTCGTTGTTCCTAATTTCCATGGTATATAGCCTGCGAACAGGCTCCCCGGCGAGGGCGAGAAAAAAATGTGACGAGAGGAAGCGAGCGGGGCGTAACGGGGGAGACCTTGGACATTCTCTTAATACCGCCTTTCCATGATACCAGAAGTGATATCATGATCCGATTGGCTAAATCGCTGATTGTGACAGCTTTGAGTTAAATGTTCGACAGATCTTAACGACGGCTTGTAAATTTGCATATGATTTTTGCCGTTACCGAGAAAGGTACCGTCTGCTTTGAGAAATTCTTTACAATGTTATGAGGATCAGAATTACTTTTAGTGTATCTGTCACGCAATCCCAGACTTTTCTAGAATTATCTTACAATCTGTAATATTCCAGAAATTTCTTTGATGTGACTCAGCAGTTTCCACAAATAGTACACCTTGTAACAAATTATAGATAACAACAGAACATTCTAGATGCTTAGAGTAAAAGAAAGAATAAAAGCAGGCTTGTAAGTAATACAAGATACACTCTCTCCTTATTTGCCCGAGAGCTTACCCTCGTGGCCGCTTGTGATTCAACTTTATGCTGTGGATACGATACTGTGAGGAAGCTATAATCAACTGCGATCACTATGGTGAAGCTATGACTTCGATAATTCTGCCCTTGCTATATCCGAGGAGAAGAAAGAGAAGCAAGAGATGGTAGCCGAAAAGGGAAAAAGACNGAAATGTTCTCTCCGATCATCGTCTCTTGTTGAACGCTGAGAGTTATTGCCATCTTACTATGGGGAGTTTATCGGACCTAACTCTACTTGAAACACACGCGACTTTTTTGAGACCGATTTGAAATCATTTTAGGTGATGCATGTACATCTTTACCTCAAAACTCTGTTTATGCTGAGTTTTGTCGCTGAGTAGTTTGTTTTCTCTGATTAGAACTCGCTGTTTCCTGTTTTCCAGCCTCGAGTACAACTCTGCTCGGTATTCTATAAACAGAGAAAGATTGGTCAACAAAATATGGTTCAACAGTCAAGGATGTTCCCAGCTAACTGAGTCAATAACTGCATTATTTCTTTTCCAAGAGGGCAGGGTAATTTAATCCTGCAATGTGATTGGTTCTTAGCGCGGTACGGATTTCCCTACCTCTGCCCACGGTTACAGTAGTATTTTCAAGAGCCCGGTAAGAATTTTTCACTTTCCAGGACCTCCCATGGCCCAGAGGCAAATAACACATATTTATCAAATCACCGCACGGTCTCTCTGAAATAAAATTCGGCAGGCCAAGTAAACTTCTTTTCCACGAAAGTTTCATAAGTGCTCTTAACTGCTCAGACTTTTATCTTCTGATCATGGCCAAGAGATATGGCCCACACCGGTAACAGAGCCTTTTCTTTATTTTGGCTCCTTATCAGATTGTGGCAAAGGGGAGTGGGGGTTGTGATTCTGTTCACGCATGAATTTTAACAAAATTCACGCGCCACATATATTTTCAGCTGCCTTTAGCAATGGATCATTCATTAACTCCCGCACACGTCTGCGGTCTTTCACGGTTAATCCCATTCTCAAAGATCCTCATAAACTAAAAAAGAGGCTTCGACCGCAGGGTGCTACTGAGCCAACGAACGATGTAAAAAATCTTCAACGAAAGAGAATGAAAATTGAAGAAGCAAACAAATAATTGATCATAATTTCACAATTCTCTCTCAGGGAACTTACCGGAAAATCTCTTTCCACCAATTAGTTTCTTCTCTGTGAAGACGTGACCACAAGTACATGAACCATCTGTGGAATGCGAGGCGGGGATCTATTTAAAAATATTGACAGTGGTAAAAAAGATTTAATACCCAAAATCAATCATACATGAACGTCTGCAACCAAGTGACTACTTAAGTTGAATTGGAAGACCAACTGCAAATTGAGGCCATGACCCACGATGGATTTCGAAAGTGCTGTGAAATTATGCACTCATGTTCGCGAGTCGAAATCAGAGCAGCATTCACAATCTTTCGTGAAGAACCTATTTTTCTAATTGCAAAGGACCTTCAGAGCTTCTTAGTAAAACTCGTACATAAAATAGATGAAAACGGTTTAACGTTTAAAATATAAGCTTAAAGTTCAGCCACCGTTAACGTTAGTAAATATGGCGTTCGGAAGACAAATAACTTTAAAAAAAGAAGACTTACCATGAGATTACAAGCCACACATTGTTGTCGTTGAATCATGACAGAGTGCTTTAACACCTTAACTCACAAATTTGTTCCTGTAGAATCTAACATTAACAATAAACCAATAAGAGGATCGAAAGCCAAAAATTGAATGAGACGAAGCAGTTAAAAAATGTCATCGCGCCATCGCCACGCGCGTGAGTCACTGACGTCATGATATCTTACGTCAGCGTGACTGTCACATCAGGAGTTAACCCTCTAAGAAGGAGCGTGACACGAAACAACCAATCAAGAGATGAGATTCTTCGCAATTATGATTGATTCTTCTGGCTCCTTGGAAATCGGTGTAGTTTTGCCACGGGAAGGCTCTTATGACGGTGATTATGTTACGGCAAAAAATAAACAAATAGATAAATAATACAACGATATTGATGATGTGTTCATAACAGTTACTTTATGCTTTTATTTTTTTACGACTCATCCTAGTTTTAAAGATGTTTACTCGTATTCTATGAACAAGAACAATGCCAAAGAAAACTCCTAACAAGTATATCAGGTGACAAATCCATGTACTGAGTATTAATCTATCGTATAGTTGATTTCTTTTGAGCAAAATATAAACGTATAAACAAATGTCATATTCGCAGACTGATAACATGTTGTGGATATGATCACGGCATGTTCCCTGCATCCTGGGCAAGACTGTCTTATCATTTTTACCACACTTTACAGCAACGCTCTAAGAAGTGTATCGATCGATCATCCTGATCCATCTCCTTCCATTTGTCTTGAGAGAGTTCTAAAATAGCCATGCCATAGACTGTCCCATGAGTCTGCGATTTATTTCTTGAAGTGCTCGAGAAAATCGCGCGGCTTCATCTTCAGGGGACTGAAAAAGAGCACTGTAACTGTCTTGTGTAAGCCTTAGATTTCCTTTCTTTCTTTTTCCTTTGGTTCTCCTAGGTGTCCTGGAAGAGGGCAGGGTTGGACGGCTCTTTTTAGGCTTTACAACGATCTGAGACAAAAAGAAATGACAAACGGTTTGATGTCATCTAACGTGGGTATAGGAAAGTTTTCCGGGTAGAAATAAAGGTTTGGCCTTTTTACTAGCCTGTGAACAGGTTCTCTAGTCGAAGACGGGGCGAAGAGAAAGCGGAAAGAAAGAAGAAGAGAGAGGAGCTGAGAGCCGTTCAGCCCTGTTGTAAATAACCTGTCCTCATAAAGTAAAAGAAGCGTAAAGTGCATTAATTGGGACGACTGTACAGGAGAATTCTACGGACGTTACGGCTCGACTGGTTCTTATCTTCTACTTATCCTAGCCAATATAGTCATATAAACGGGAGGGAAAAAGAAACGTTCCGGCGTCACGTTCATATATCTGACAAGCTGTTTGCATTTGTAAACATTTGCAGCGGTCATAACATATACCCGGAAGCGTTTGGCGTGACATGTACTGTCACACCACATTACCTGCTTCTCGCTGTCACCATCAGTTGAATCCGAGTCACTACTAGGTCTATTAGCTTTGTTCTCTTCAGTGGGTTTCGATCGTTTGGCTTCCAGTCTCGTGTAAAGACTTGCACGATATTCTAGAGAAAATGGAGGCGTTATGGAAAAGATCATTTCACAAAACAAGGACCCGAAAGAAAAGTGAAAGCCTAGTATTTCGTATCAGCTAATTTATCCGTGAGTGATGACTTTCTCTGTCAATCACAACTTTCCGAGTTACCTTGTGCCTCTGTTTCAAAACGAGTCTTTGTGCAAAACCTGTCATATGAAGACGAGTTTGATTGATGTAGGCGGACAGAAACAACAGGAAAAAGGCAACTCAGAAATGGCCTATTGGTTAATCTTAGTCCAGGAATCTACTAGCCAATCAAATCATTTGTCTCCGGGGCCAACTTCTCCTTGTCCCAAGGCCCCCCGGCTAAGAGGGACAAGCGGCTCTGCGGACTGGTTGTCAAGAGTGTGTACAGTTGTCTCACACCGCACGCCAACTAAAGGCAAGTGTTTCAGCCGCCGCTGCACGTTCTGAGCGCATCATGCACTACACAGCAAGGTTCAGCTTGTCATACACACATGATAACTAGGGGTTTTCATCTCCTTTTGTCCTTAAGAAATGCCTCAGAAGCAAAGCAACAGCAACGGGTCGCTGCAGAGAAAGAAGGAACAAAACGTCCAGACCAGGGCACAAAGTACAAAGACAAAATTATTTTTGGTGAGCTTTTTCTTGGATATAAAGAGTTCATTGCAGATTCTACCACAGTTTGTACAGGGCACGCAGTATCTACCTGTACCTGGCTTATTTTATAATTGTTGCTTACATAACACTACCTGAAAATCTCTTGCCTCCAATCTGACGAATATCCTCAAACACGTGGCCACAGGTGCAAATCTGCAAAGTTCCTAAAACCTAACAGTAAACAGAAAAATAAACATGTCTTAAATCATCTCTCGTATTTAAGCTTTAAGCTGTAGTTACAGATCAGTTTGAGAGAAACACTACCCTAAACATGTATATTCCGAATCTGAACGACAACTAACTACCGAACTGTTTTGAATAACGATAGACCTTTGAAGAAACCTGCAATTTCTGAAGACATCATAATAGTTTCTCGCTTACAAGAAACACTGAGATTTTTCTTTTGCTCCGTCGCAAAAACAAGGCCGGACTGGTGATATGTAACCGAATGAGAATACTGAAATTCATTTCAAAGTCGCGCAGCCTTACACATCACTGTTACAAAGAGTATCGATGAGTCATCGGTATTAAAGTCGTTCAGCGTGTTGGGACGACAATGACTTACTAAAGGCGTTTGAGCTGTTGAAGTCTATTACTCCTAAGTATTAGGTAACTAAGGTTTCAAAATCGGTGTAATTATTCAAGCTCTCGCACAAAAGCACGACAGTGTCTAGATGATGTTCACGTAACAATGGCTGTTTTAAAACAATCACGGGGCGAAAACATCCCAAATAGAAGTCTAGATTGCATGGAAAATACGACTGATACTTCTTTGACTCTCAGATCAGCCAGTCTTCCAAACCCTCGACCTTCGAAATCACCGTCCCAATTTCAACTGTGACTCGGATACGAAGAACACAAGCACACTCGTGACTATTACGTATATCAATGCAGAGATTTAAACTCCAAAGCGACTTGGAGAACACAAATGTATATTCAGCGCTTTTTAAACTCATTCTCCCTGAGAACTCACCGTGGTGTTACAAGCAAGGCACTGTCTAAGAACCATACTGGTAGCTTATGTAGTTTTAACGCCGGCTGGTGTGTTGCTGTGCCTGGTGCAGAAGTTAAAGGAAGGATGTTGTTCATGCAACCTTATTTGAAGCACTTGTATTGGAGTGGTATGTCACGTGGACATCACACAACGTGTAGTCACGTTCAGTTCAGCTGATTGGTTGGGACAATTTTACAATTTCAACCGCAATTATTTTAGTTTTTCTCTAATAAATATAGGTAGGAATATGTCTGATTTATCATATACAGTACAGGGTCTTCCTTCCTAAAGAAGATTTGAGCTTTTCCCTATATATACATCATCACTAAGGTAGAAATACATTTGAAAACTTCACGTGCTTTAGCGAAACTCACGCACGGATTAAGTTTTTAAATTTTCAGTGTTCGCAACAATTCCTAGCAGAACCTTTCCGAGCTTTCCGATATTTTATTACGTCAGTGTGGCCACTAAAAGCAAACTTCTTATGTTAACCCGTTCCCCTTGGTGAAATTCCATAAAATTATGTCAGAACGGTTATAATTATTTTTCTTTACTTAAGGCTCGTTTCTCAGCAAATCTATTTCGCCAGTTCTTAAACAGAGAGGAAAAAACACAAAGTAAAAAAGGAGAAAGTACCTGTTAACCTTCCCCCCTGGTGGACCCCCATCCACCCTACTTGTTTAGTGAATCATCTGGCCTGAATCACAATATTAAGGTCACATCATAACACCATTTTATTATTGCTCAAATTGAAAAGTTATAGTGATCTGGGAGTAAAAAACTGCTTTTAAAGTCGGACACTGGCGCATGCCACGTCATGAATGGTCTTCATCCGAGGCAGCCACCTAAAAGCCCCCATCCTTTTTTTATCAAAGAAAATTAGCTAAAATTACTGATATCAATTCGGTTCGAAAGACCAGAGATATTAAGAAATTGTGATGATGACCTTCGAAAATTAATAATCAGTGATGCCAAAACCAGGTGAATAAAATAAGAACACAGTGAAACAAGTTTTGTTCAATACTATGTCAATTGTTAAGCGAGTTTTCCACGTGATAAAGGGAAAATTCCTTTTAAGGGTGATTTTGAAATGGTTCATGTTTCCCCACCCCAGGCAACATGATTGAGTATTGATTCCGAGTGTCGCGACCGCGCACAAATTTGGCAAGATCTCAGTGTCACACAGTAATGCTAATTTTAAATGTGACGTCACGGACCGTTTCGTTTATGCACATTCATTATTAAAAGACTTTCAAAACAAACTGCAGCACTGGCGCAGTATCCGTCGTTAAGGAAGTGTAAAAGATCATACAGGCAATAAAACCAACTGAAAAATGGTCCTTCAACAGTGCTTGGCCTGCAATCATTTGGTGAGTTAACGTTTGGATTGTTTACAATAGATTTCGTCCTTTATACACGAATTTTACCCATGGTCACACAGTATCCCGAGGTGTTCTGTTCATAAAGCCACTAGATTTTACTTTGCATGAGTCACATAAACATTGCATCATTTCCATGAAAAGAAACTAACAGAAAGGCTTGATTTGATCATTACGTTTACCGTAGCGAGTACCAATGCAGCTATTATTTGTGATGCGGATTTTCTGTACTATATATCATTATATGTGCGAATTTCGAATCGAATTTCATGGTCTATTTCTTTTAGAAGCAGATTCGATCAGTTTTCCATGAAGAAGGAAGAACAAATATAATAGAATCGTGATTATAGCCCTGCTGAATCAGCTTGTTTTTTTTTTGAAAAATTACGAGCTCAGCAATATATGTTTTAAGTAAACCTACAGCCGAAAAGCGGCAATGATTGCATAACAATGCAAGATCATGCTGACTTTTTGCGTGAAATTCTCCGAGTTTCCTATCCAGGCGCAAGGTCCAAGTCGATCGATCTGAATCATTAACGAGGCGATTTGTAGTTGCCCCGTCACATATGGTGACGGTACATGTGTTTTGGCTGTCAAGTAGGGTCACAAGTGGAAAGATCTATACCATGTCACGATAAACGTTAGCTCAGTTGAGATGAACAAAACTACCTTAGATTTAAACTAACAATAAATTCCACAGGTAACAAATCACCAAAGAGGGGTAAATAAATCAAATAAAAACAAGGCTAAATTGAGACGGCTCAAAAACGACCAACCGTCTTAATTTCGTGAGGTTTTTTTGGGGGGGGGGGATGGGGGGGTTGGCGCCCTCCGTTAGATTCCAATTCATACAGCGTTATTTTTCTGTAGATGACTGAATTGTCACGAGCATGTGTTTGTGGTCACGTGTTTGAAGAAGCAAGCCGTTTCATTAGTGGCAAAAGATTTTCAGGTAAACATGTTTGGCTGATCTGATGGCATCTCGCGTAATGCATTTCAAAATCATATTGTTGGAGAATGGCATGATCTCTTCAGTGATCATTTTATTTCCATGAGTCACTCTATTTGTCTGAACTTTGCTTATTGATTTTATACTTAAAACAGAATACCGCGCCAAACTGTATTCTCGTCTGGAAACTAAGAAAATGAAGAGAAAAGCTGTAGAAAACGGACCAAAGGGGAGTAACTGCATTCCTTCGCATTCAGTCAGCAATCCAATGGTATTGAGCAGCTGAACTTTATGTTTAAAGTTTGTTGTTTGTTGACTTTGTTAACGCGCAGTTTCTAATGGTTGGAACGCCCAACTTGGTGACTGCATGGTCGCCAGACGCCGGTTGGAGTGTCTTGTCATCAGTGTTCGCGTCCTTCTTATTTAGTCAGCCGCTGTCAGAATGTAGAGGGAGAACTACTGGGTACAACCTGAGCTCCCGGACTGATCGTTATTCTGCGCAGTTACGTACCAGACGAAGAGACTGCCATAGTCTCTTGGCTAGACTGAGTGTAGTTGGCAAATTGTTGCAGGAAACCTGGCGGTGAACGCTCTGACACGAGAAACACTACAACCATAAAATGTACAGGTTGCCTCCCAGTCGAGAACAATATAGAGACAGGCGTGACAACAAGCATCTGATACTCCCAATCCCCACCCCGGGTCCCCACCCTTTCCTGTTTGTATATTTTGCCTGAGTGATAGATGAGACATGATCATTTCTAGTAGTTATGCCGTTTGATGTGTTGTGTGCTTGCAATTAAGGCCAGCATGAAGAAAACTAAGCTGCATGGTAAAACAAAAGCTCTTTAAAATTAAACAAAAAATCCGCTGATAAAAGTCGAAATTTCAACTTAATGCGTTTCTGTTGTTTCTCCCAGAACCTGACCGCGACACGCAGACGATCAGCACGGCGAAAGAATTCAGACAAAAGCAAAAGAAGAAAACGATATCCTCGGATGCAGATGAATCGCTCCACGAGGCTGAAACAGCAACCAAATATGGGGAAAATTGTATCAGCACAGCTCTTGAGTAGGTTGCCAAATGCTCTCAGAGAAATAAACCGAAGGATATTCGTTCAGAATATTATGTGGCTGGAGTTACAGACGGAGTGAAGAAAAAGGAGTTTGAGGGCAAATCTCAGAATAAACCCTTAAGAATAGCTGGAAACGCGGTTTTTTCAGCGGCTTGTAATATGCAACGGAAATATTCATGAGAACGGCCGTCGCCAGACAGAGAACAGGAAACAGCCGAGATTGTGCTGAGCAGAAGCAGTAAACGATCGAAATATCCAGTTAACCCCGATTGGTGTATACTTACATACTGCATGTCGTGAAATGACAATAATTCAAGTGTGATGATATTTGAGAGATTTGATTTACGTCAAGAAGAGAAAAGAATGTATATTTTGTCTCCTTATTAAGATAAAACAAGGGTTTGGAACAAAGAGGATTTGTTTTCAAAAGCTATCGTTTTACGATAAAGTGCCGTTTTACACAGTATAGAACTGGTTCGAAAAACAGGATTAGCCGTTCAATGTATGCTTTTAAAACAATTTAACCGTTAATTACCAATCGGGAAAATAGGTACCATCTGAACTCCTCTTGCTACCATCTGTATCACAATAAGGCTGAGAGAACACGTCCATAATCATGAGTAAAAAGAGTTAGAAAGGATGGAAATAAACTGAGTAAGCGAATCTAACTTGTTATCGGAACTTTTTATAACATAGCGCGCGCGCTGGTCCTATCTGGTAAAAATTTCCATTTACGCACGGCCGTGCGTAAATAACATAACGTGTGCAGTTTCATTTTAGCTGCAAGATTTCCGTCGAGTTTAGTTGCGAGCTCTTTTTGTAAAGTGTCGGCAATGTGGGCTGAACAATCCAAACCCTGACGGTTTCGAGCCTTCGACTTTTGACTTTTGTTAAGATCTTTTGAGTATTTTGACTTTTGCCTTCATTTTCATTGGGTATCATTTGTTTGCCTCCGCAAGCGAATCTTTCATTGCCAAGTTTAGAAACCAGACTCAGTTGACTGTGGCGTGTTTTTAACCAGGCAATGGGATCCTTTGTTTTCCTTCATCGTGCATTGTGAGAACTTTGTAGTCAATCACAAATAAAACATGTTTTAGTGCCCAAGTTGTGGTCGCTATGTTATAAAAGAATTGGTTCATGTTTTTAGCTGTGCATATTTCGTGTTATGAATGCACTTGGGAAGTTTGGAGAGCACTCAAGAAGCAAGAGTTGCTCTCGGCTGCACCTCGAGCAACTTTTACGCTTCTCTCGTGCTCTCCAAACTTCCCGCGTGCATCCATAACTCGATATACGAATGCTAAGTAGTGTCCTACGCACATCCGGGATACTTCCTTCCTCTGCTCAACAATTGGCGATGATATCAGTAATCATCCCAGACTGCCTGTTACGTCACAATCATGTGATAACGGACGAGATTGCGATAAAAAGCTGATCAATGCTTGGGTCAGCAAGAAATATCATGCATTGTAGCATAACTATTTCACTGAGGGATTGTCATTTTGATGTCCAACCATGGTCTTTGAACAATGCATAGCGTGTAATGTGTTGGTAAGTTCTTATGAATTGAGTGTTCTTAAGGTGAAATGAAGTCTCCCTAACGCCATTTTAATGACCAATTAATGAATTATTGGTCATGATTCATGAGAATGTCTTGAAAGGAAATTTTTGTTTGCTTGATCGATTCTGCCTGAAAGATTTGCTTATTGAGTGAATCATATAACTCAGTGTCGTGTACAAAGAAAAAAGGCCCCTCAATCAGACTGTAATATGATATTCTAAACTACTCTTCTTCTACATCTGGGTACACTGACGCACTCTCGCGGTCTACCATGTTTGTCTTCAAGCTTATATTTGCAACACGCTGATATTTTTAGTGTATCCATCACAAAGGCGCAAGCATTCTTAGTTTCTCGTCACGATCTGTTGAACACTTCATAACACACGCCTTGTCACGCCTCCTTTTGTGTGTTGATAAACTTCAGGATGGATTAAATTCCAAGTAAACGAGAAGGTTCATTCTGCGGTTATAGTAAACACTTTAAGGGATAACCGCAAGTTAACGAACAAAATGAAAAGAAAAAGAAGTGCCAAATAACGCAACAATAGGCGGCGTCATGCTATACCATTTGGTCCCGGATTTAGTGTTGTCGAGCTGGAAGAAGAATGTCAAGGGCTAAATGACCGGAAACAAATGGGATTTTTGTCTTTTAAAAATAGATCGGAAATCTGAAATTTTGAATTTTTCTAAAAGCTGTTACTTAATAGTTTATTCCTTTGGAGTAGCTGGAGGTGACTTTACGACTGTTAGTTTCAGAGAAATTCAAGAATAGGGATATCTCTTCCCGTGTCCTTGGTCCTTAACGAAATTGCGAGAGAAGAATACCCCTGAAATGTCCAAGTTTGGGTTACACCATGAAACTTTGTCAACTACTTATCATTTGAAAAATCACTAAACAAAATAAACTCAATTGTCCTTTTAGGAAAAAAGGATCTAATGTAAATCATATTAAAACCAATGCTTTGTGCTATAAAGCTAGTTTTTTTTATAGTGTACCACGTTTGTCGTTTTTGAGATGCCTAAATTTGTTTTACGATTTAGAAATTTTGGTTTTGAACAAACAAACTAACTCGTGATTTTCTTAGTAAGAATGGAAACAGATTTGCTTCGTGTTTTAACAACAAAGAGTAAAATGCTAACAATAAGGATCACCGGAGAAACAAGTCAACGCTTCAAAAGTTTGTTTTATTTGCAAAATTTCTTTGACAATGGCACCTGTGAAGCCGACAACTCTAGGCTACAAAAATAACTGGCTTTCGTATTTGTATTGGTTCCAGCCTGTATTAAAAATAAGGTAATTTAAGCGATTAGAAATTCAGGAGGCAAGAAAGTTAAGCTATTCACCACCCAAAAACCGGTGCTGAAGTTCGCTGAAATCAGTTTTGCCCAGGAAGGAGTTGCTTGTACTCCTAGCCAAGGTGAAGTGTTAAATCTTCTCTGATCCCTCTTCTACGAATAAAAACTAAACGAAATTATCAATATCGAAAGTGCTAGAGGCCTTCCACGGACAAAAGCGGCCAAACCCATCGATTGAGAAGGGTTTGGAGTATGCCTTTTGTCGAACAGCTAACAAACACCTCCACACCTGTCTCGTTTCAAATCTATTCAAGTTAAGCAGTGACGTCATTCAGCACAGAGGTAAACTGGCTTGTGGCATATTATTAATGCGTGTGAAGTGAATCAGTGAGTCGCTGAAGCCAAGGAATACTCTCCTAAAGGTTCACTTGCCTACAAACAATGGTCGTTCAACAGTGTTTGGCCTGTAATTCAGTGGTAAGACAAATTCAAATTGCTGTTCAGAGCTTATTTGTTCAAAACCGCTTTCCGCAGCTGTAGACTAAATATTCAAATTCGACGTAGTTTGCTAATTTTCATATTGTCTTCCAACGTGACAAATCTCTTCTCTTTCGCACAGCGTCATCACTAAGTTCTTGTGAAAATCTTCTTAACAGTTTCTCTAAGAGGTTTTCTTTACCAGAAGAAGTTTATCTCAGACAGTTTTGGACACAAACATTTCAATCGTCCTCATCTAGTTACGAGAAGCGTAGGTGGAAGTATCTAGACGGTCCGCCCTTCCTGGCGACGACAAACGCGAGCGCGTGCTTCAGTGTAAGGGGCTACACAAGTCGCATGCACTAGGCTAGCGATTCTTTCACTTACAAGATAGCCTTGTGGTCGAATTAAACCTTGGAATAAAAGTCTGAAATAGTACAGAAACACACAAGAAATTTTACGAAGCCTTACAGAAGAGCTGATGGTCACAATTTGGGAACAAATTGAGACAAAATGAATTCTGAGTTCCGGACGATGAAAATTGTCGTGCAATCGTAGGCAGCGAAAAGACTAAAAGCTCGGGTTACATATGTGAAGCTTGAAACACAAAAATGGTTGTAAAACCTTTATCTTCTTTTAATATGTTAAAATCGAGCAGCTCTTCTTTGCATTAAAGGTGTAACTCACGGTCAGATGACATTTGATTGAGTGATCTGTCTTACCAGCGTTTTTGTAAGTGATTGATATTCTTTCAATGAGTGCATTTTGTTTCCTTAGAAGACTGACTCGGGTACAACATGTGTATGTGGTCACGTGTTCGAGAACTCGAAACAGATTGGCGGAAAGAGGTTTTCAGGTAAGGCTAAAACCTTGTTACTTCACACAGGACCAGAAGAAAGAAAAAAGATGGATCTTAGATTCAATTTTTGAAAATATAAAGAAACTAACCACACTTCGTGGAAGTTACTTTTCCATAGCTTTTTTTTTTATCGCAAAGGCCTTTTCAACCCTTTTACACAACATAATAAACACCGCCACGTGATAATTGAGCTAAAGGCAGGCAGTTTCATCTTGAGGCTTGAACTGACTGAGTTAGAAGTACATCTTCAACGCAATATATATACAACATTAGCGACCTTCAGATCGGACGGAGTACGAGATTTGAGGTCGGCTTTTCAAACGTTGTTCATAAACTTTCCACCAACACCTGTCGTTAGCGTCAGTCTCCTTTATCACTGGTCAGCAACAGGGAGAAGTGAAGACTCTCTTAACATAACTGAATAAAATTGGAAAGTTCTCTTCGTTCTCCATCTCCTATGCGTTCGCAGCTATTTGAGCTCAATGCAAACGTGTAAATTTCAATTCCAAAAGTTTATACGGCATAAATTAAATGGGGTTTACACACTCGTCACAAACTTAAAGCATCAGAGAACGGCATATTGTGGGAGAAAGGATCAAAGCTGAGTACTAAGAGCTAAGCTAAGATTCTTTTCATTCTTTTTACAGAGTATCGAGCTGAACTGTATTCTCGTTTGGAAAAGAGGAGAATGAGGAAACTTACGCGGGAAAACAGAAAAGCAGGAAGCGACAAACAACGATCGCAACCACTAAAAGAACGCAAGGTAATAAAAAAAGAAGAGATCGACATAGAAAGGTACATAGAATGGAAAAAAAATGTTGAACAAATTTAGCTGCTAGGAAGGATTGACCTGTAATTGTAATCATTTCAGTGTAATTTAACTTCCAGACCAATACTACAAATGAAACTTGCGTGATTCGCTCATCCTTCAAACCCAGGACTCACACGGCATCTGCGAGATCAAAAGCATTCAACCGCAAGATAAAAACCAAAACATTTTCACGGCCAGGGGCAGACTCTGTACCAAGCAAGACTGCCGTGCCGCCAGAACTAGTGTCCAGGCTTCCAAGTGCTCTACAGGAAATAAACCGAAGATTGACAGGACAGAACTTGATGTGGTGGACGACACACTGGTTACAGTAAAGAAGCATCTCTAGGCCTTTGTACATTTTGAATATTGAGTATTTTAACTTGGTTCTGAACTTCAGCTCTGTATCGTACAAAGAGCGTCGATAGAGCCTCGAAATGCCACTATTAGCATTCATTCAGTGTCTTCATCAGTTCAGAATCGTTGATTACTCAGTTACATTGGCGGTGTATTTTAAATTAGTGTGAAGGGTTTATGGATGTATATATTTTTCTAAGTCAACACAGAATATATAATGTTATCTTTCCTCTAAAATCATAAATGCCAAGGATTTTTAACTTATGAGAAACGGAGGGTTGGTCCTCTAAAACAAAAAGGTTGTTTTCTTTCTCTATCTTTTGAAATGCTAAGCATTTTCCTTTATCTATGAACTTGACCTTGTTAGAAGGTTTATCAACCTGTAACCGAAGATAAAAAAAATATTCACATGTCGTACGTGTTAATGTATTTGACAAACTGTAAATAAATTTTTGTTTCCTTCCAAAATATCAGTAAAAACCACACTAAACGCACCAGAGTTGGCTGCGTGTGACCACACTTACAGGAAGTCGGATAGCCTGCATAGCAAGCGTTCCCGCGCAAAGAGCTTTTCCGCATTCTGACCGCGCGTAAATTGGAGCGAGAGGAAAAATTCGACGAAGCAGGCGTCGAAAGAGCCTCGAAATGCCTAACGCGCGGCCAGAATGCGGAAAAGCTCTTCGCTTGCTACGCAGGCTAGAAGCCGGAATGTACGAGTGTTACCGCAATTTTCTAAAATATGGAAAACAAAATGGAGAAAAAAATTTCCTTATCTCGTATCAGGTTACATAAGCCGGTTCTCAGTAGACAAATGCTGAGATCGGCATTTTTGAAGCTAAAAAGGCAAACATGAGTTCGCGAAGGTCTAGACTGGCCGTGAAACTTTAAATTTACTGCCGAGAAAAGTAAAATGGTAAATACTGTGGGTGAACTGGCCATTTCAGACTTTTCTCCGGCTAGGCTGGGTTTTTCCCTCTCCTTCACGAGTTTCCCGACACGGTACGATGTATTTCATTCCCGAGTTCTGCTAAATAAAAAACAATCTATATGCGGCGTTTGCTGCGAGACCACATTGGACTCTGAGTCTGAAATCCTTGATACTGGCGAAGAGAGAGCGACTGTACCGCACATAGAGAAAAAAAGATTCATAATCATGATCATTAAATTACAATAATAAAACAAATTAATTGGTATGTCAGGCAGTTGTTTCTTGCCGGAATAACGTAAGTATAAAACCATGAACAACCTCGGTCGGTCTAAACCCTGATCGTGACAATAAGTCGAAAACATTCGGTTTAATGATAATTTTTCTTTCCTATTTTCTAGCCTTAGTATATCATTTCACTTCTTTTAGCGAATATTATGTCAATTATTAAAAGTGAACGGTGAATTTCATTGGCACTGCGCTTTATCCCGCATCGATCTTATCCTGAAACTGTGATGTACCACCCCTGCAGGTACTTTTAAATTTTCTGGGAAGAGGATTTGAAACTGTTGTCTCACATGTCCTACATCTTCTCGTAAGGTTAAAACATTTTTTTGCGTGGGTTTTATTTTGCGTGGATAGCCGTGTTTTTGTTGTTACTGCGGGATTCAATTCTTACAGTTAAACTTAAAGTAAATCCCTGCTATTCCCAACAAATTTGTGTAACTTGAAACTAGCAAAAACAAAAAACTTCCACTGTATAATACTTAGTGAATTTCTCAAAACTTCAGGCATGACAGATAACTTTGACTTTGAGACCTTGCCAGCAAAGATGCTTTGTTATTGATCTTCCACATTAACTGTTCCTCCTCATGTATGTGGTGAACATGATAAATTGTTTCCTAAAACTGATAATATGAAGCCATTTAGAGGTCATAAATAAAGCTACAGTGAATGTTGATACCATGCATACACAATTGTATTAAAGCGGATGTAAAATGATAAACATATCCGACCGGCAATGAGGGTGTACTGGTTAATAAGGAAATAGGACAAAGAGCTATTCAGAAAAATGTACTGTTTCCATAAACGTTTTACATATGAATATCTTACGATGAAAAGTACTAGTCAAAGTTAAAATTTATTTTTAAGGATACGCATAAAAACCAAGGCCTTAGGCGTCGCATGGCGCGAAAAAGACAGAAGATTAATAAAACTGAAGAAACAGTGCCTCTTTAATCAAGGATGGCCGCTGGTGACCATTTAGAACTAGTCATCAAGAACAGAGCTTCCTTGAATCCGCTCAGTGAGTACAAATGTATTCCATCATGTGCCGCGGATACTGAATATCCTGTCAAAATGAAAACACCACCTTTTGATAAAGCACTTTCACCCACACCGAATCGTTTGGGTTGATAAGGCTGGATCCATGCATCATCATTACCCAGAACCTTTGAAATATTTAAAATAGACTGCAAATGTAAAATGAAGCTTAGCGAAAGAAACAAAAAATGAGCTGATTTAAGGGGCAAAATCGCTCACAGTGCATATTCAGTCTAGATGAGGGAAACTCTGAATCGAAAGTGATAATTGTAGCTGAAATAAATAACGCACCACGTCATCGGTCACCATCATTAAAACCATGTGAACCGGTGTCGTAATGCCCTGCTGTTCGTGAATTCGGTTTCATCAGCAGAGTGATTCGCGATTACTTCAGACTAGGGCCAGGCGCTAAATTGAAATATTACCTTAATATTGACGAAAATGCAATATTACCAAGATTTAGAACAGTCAACAAGGTTGAGCCTGCTCTGACGAGTATTTACGGGTAGAATTACTAGGAATCAATACACATCAGTGTAAACGAACTCAGCTTGGAGTAGCACGTCGGTCATCAGCTCTACTCTAATACGCCGGGGCGTATGTAATTATCTGGTTTGTTCACTGATTATATTTTTGAGACGCTTACTTGACTGCAATATGTGACTGATATAGATAAAGACCAAAACCCTGGTCATATTGCAAGACTCATCCGAGAAAAACAAGTTGAGTCAAAACAAGAAAAACCAGTTTGTAATGAAGGTTCGTTACGTGGGTGAAGTAAATCGACTCGATGATAAAACAAAAGGTGCACCCCAATTTTCAGGCTAACATTTATCTCATTTTCTAACCATTTGTTACAAATAGTTAATTCGGGATTTTCGCTTTCTTGTGCAGAAAATATCAACAGTTTTTGAAAATGAAATGATCGCTCAGCAGTTTTCATTTTAGAACACAGAACGGCGGCGTTTTCAAGTATTTGAGACGTGACGTCACACATCACCAACGCAAAACCAGCTTGTGGTTTATTATGTCAAGTTGCGCAAAGATCATTCCATTTTAGGCTCGGCAGTTACCGTAACAAGAGCAGCACAACCCAGAGATTCAACATGGTTCTTCAACAGTGTCTCGCTTGCAATGCGGTGGTAAGCTTTTAAGGAAATAAGTTAAATTCGGTTACAAAATAACATCAATAATTCTACCAGACTTGCTTGACTCGCTGATATTCAAATTTGCCTTCGGTCGTTAATTTTCATATTCTCAACGGCCCTGTTCCGTCACACAACAGACTACAACGCGCCACTTAAATTAATCGCAATTTTTGCTACTTCAACGATGATTTCCCTCCAGGAAAGCGTGAGTTAACTAACAGTTTTTAATTAGTAGTTTCTAGGCTCGATTTGATAAATTCCCGTCGATTTTTAAGCGCGTGTCAGCGAACGTTGGCGGCTACAGCGAGGCGGCCCTCTCCAAACACTAAACCAGTGACTCAGCAGTGTGTTCTACCACTCAGTCACTGATCACAATCAGGTTAACGATTTTAACATTAAACGACAAATTTATTTTCTCAAAAACAATTGTTGTAAGAGATGATTCGTTTACCAGTTCTGTTCACCCGGTATTAAACACTTTCTTACTCGCTCTTTTCGGTTCGAAGAGTTCCCGTTCAAGTGTGGGCGTAACGCGAGACAAAACGGATTATAGTTTACTGAAAATTATTTTCGCTCTGTGTCGACGATAACGAGCAAATTATACATCTTTAAGCGAAGAATTCACATTGAATTTCCTTGCTTTTCATCTGATGTTGCTCTAGAATAAAGCAGTCTGTTTTTCTTTGTTAATTGTACATTCCCACCCTCAAATGATGCGCGTGGATTTTCGAATGGACTTGACCCTTTTCGATGAAGCGTGCCCGAGTTCGAACAAAACAAATACCCTCCTCTGTCTTGGTTTGATTGCCCTTCCTCGACATTTAATACCTGTAGATTTTTAAGGTTAAATTTTCGTAGATTTATTTCTGCGTGGATAATTCCCAACTGGAGTCGCTTACTGCAACGAGTGTGAAACAAACAGGTATGCAGTAACATGATGCATTACCATACGCCCCAGTATCGAAGAAAAATCTGCCCATAGATGGCAAACATCTACAACTATGCAGAATAATCCACAAGAACATCGGAAACAGCAGAAATCACTTCATATTTCTCTTAATTTGCTTAATTAAAACATTCTTGGTATAAATTTGTTCAAAGGCAAATCAAGGAGTTAAAAAATTCTGCTCGTAATTTCATGTCATGTGAACTTTTGAAACACGGAAGTTGTGAACGTTTGCACGAATATTGACATCCTCGCCCCCTATCCTCAGATAACAGAATCGTGCAGGTCGTGCGTCTGTGGTCACGTGTTTGAAGACGCCAAAGAGATTGGTGGGAAAAGATTTTCAGGTAGGCTTCCTTGTGAATCTGGTAAAACCAGTTCTTGTATGTCATAATTTGAGCAGGTTACACGAATTGTTTTATACACTATCGGACAACACTTAATTTACACGGAGTTGAATGTAAATTTGGCTTTTAGATCAGTCATCGATTAAGGTGTTTAGGCTATCTTGGCCATTTTTCAAATCACTGTGCATACAATTAATACTGTTGTATCTACAGAATACCGTGCTGAGCTGTACACCCGTCTGGAGAACAGAAGAATAAAGCAATTGGTACGAAGAAATAGAAACGCGAACGAAAAGGAGTCGGGGCGGCAGCCACTTAAAGAACGTAAGGTATATATCACGGACTCTACTCTAAAAGCTGAAAAAAAAAGTGGAGGACATCCGAACTTCTCTTACACTTTCACTCAGTGTTGGGAGAGTAATTAGACGGTTCGTATAATGCTGAGAAAACGCAGAAGCAGTAAGCGGAAAAACTGCAATTAGAACAGACACACTTTCAACTCCAAAGCCCGAATTTCGTTAACCTGATATTCTCTTGAATGAATGGACACGGCTGTGCTTGCATTATTTTACAGACGCTAGTTTGCAGCAATCATGTCACAAGAACAAAATGACCGCTGGTCGAACCACGATAGACTTTATCAAAAGTCCTTCGCGTTTGTAAGTAATCTTGGCGTGAAGGTCAATTTGTGCTCCTCTATCACGCACCCAGCGGGTTACAGCCGCCCTTCCCGAAATAGAAAATCGGAGAGATCCGTGACACAGGCTCGACTTGCGCAGCTCCACTTGTGGGAAAGTCTAAAGCCCTGGAAAGATCGCGGTACATTTTTCTTTTGCCAACCAACCAAAAACGAAAGCTATTTCCTAAATGAAACCAAGCAATAGCGCTTGTTTCTATTTTCTTCGTTATCCGTCAACTTGGTTTTAATGTGCTTCGCTTTGTTTGTACTATAGGCCAACGCGGTGATATCCGGGGACACCACTTCGATATTGAAACCCAAGACTCACTCATTTAAGCCGAAAACGTGTCATCGAAGAATAAAAGGCAAACGATTTCCAGGCCCAGTAAACCAATCAGCAAGCACATCTACTGTGCCACCAGAACTAGTGTCCAGGCTTCCAAGTGCTCTACAGGAAATTAACCGAAGATTGACAGGACAGAACCTGGTGTGGTGGACGATGCAATTACAATAGATACAATGGTCAATACTGAGAGAAAACCAATGAAGAACTTAAACCAAGAGATAAACAACCGGTAAAAAAAGCACTGAATGCTGAAAGGAGTGATAAGGTCCTATATCGTCGTTTTAAACAAGATATACGAACTGCGGTGTCCGCGACGAAGAATCTGGTCTGCCTTCAAATGGAATAACTTTATGAGGACAAATTTGTTGACTATGCTTCATACGATAACGAACTGGATAACCGACTTCTCATATTGATGTTGGCCCGGTTGTTCAAAGCAAGTATAAGTTAATGCAAGATAAGCGTTATACTTTGAATTCAGTTTATAAGAATTATCTCTTTTGCCACGTCTCACCACCAATTTTTGTAGTTTAAAAATTATACGAGTGAAACACGGCTGAATTGGTGTCAATCAGCTTTCAATCGAAACTATTTATTTACCCCGGCCGTATATAAAGAGGCAAATGATATTCACAGTATTAATATGTCATGCCTTTGTTCCCTTGAAGGGACAAACTTGACGAAACCGAGTTTCAGTCCAAAATATACTCAAATTAAAAAGAATGTTTGCGACAGTGAATACTGGACTCCAATGAATCCCTGTTATGTTGTCTTTGTTAATTGCAAGCGTGGTAAGATGTTATAGTGTGGACTGTAAATAAAAAAAAGTAAAATATATGACGAGTAATTAAAGCTATACACTTGTATACAATGGTTTTGGTTGATTACTGTAACGTAGTCGAAACAACGTCCCGTGGAAAACAATAGGAACCTTACGGAAAACACGACGGCAACGGCAACGAGAACGTCACCAAACGAAAGGTACGTTTAATGAGAAAAACAATGGCTGTGCACGTGCATTATAATTCTTGGTACATTTCATTTCCGTCCTCTGCAAATCAACAATTAACGTGAAATGACCAATTTCCAAGTTTTTTGACAGCGGGACCCACTACGGCTAATTTTTCGCATTTCTATTCGTGGAACTGAACGCATTCGTAGCATATTCAGCAGGGGCAAGTTTCGCATTCGTAACATATCCAGCAGGGGCAAGTTTTACAACCGACAAACACACTGAATAGATCTATGTAAACGCAAAATTCCAAAGTAAGATGGAAACACACTTTTTAACAGCCGTCGTCCCTGCCGTCGCCGTCGTATATGCGTAAGGTCCCTATTGCAACAGACGGTCTTACTGCAAATATTCACAAAACTCAAGTTTGCCAGTTCGAGGTTACTCCTGGACATGCCTGTATAAATACTGCTTATAGCTGAATAAATAAATAATTTTAAATTAAGTCCAAATTTTTCAAATTCGTCGTTTGTAATCCGTGTTAATCTACTCAATCTTTAACCATTCTTTTTCTTTTATGTCATATTAGTATCTCTTTGTTTTGTTTTGTTTTGTTTTGTTTTTTTCCACCTTTTAGTAAACTACTATTTCCAATTAGTAGAATTCTACTAGTATGCTAATGCAAATGCTGTAATCTGATTGGCTGAACCATTGAACACTATCAGCCATTAGTGTGCAGTGGCTGGAGGTCGTCTAGGAAAGGGCGACGTTTTTTTCGTTTTTCCAAAGTTTTGGAGCAAAATTTTGATGCAAATGGATAATTAAATTCCTGAGAAGTCTAAACGAAGAACTTTTACGGTTTCCTGACTTTTAAAAAAGTTGGAATTATTGAAAAAACTGAGGCGCGTGCGCACACAACTTCAATTTTAAATGGCAATTCGAGCGATCAATCCGAGCGATCTTTTTTAGGCGCAAAGTTTAATAATACCTCAAGAAATAACTGGAAATCATTATTTGAAGTAAATTTTAGTAAGAATTCCGCTAAAACAATTAGATTATTCGCTCTCGATTTCTATGAGGTGATAGTTGATGAGGCCGAAATCTCGAGCTCATAATCTAATTGACAATTAGCACAACAGTGCTAAATATAGCGCTAATCAGAGATGAAAGCTGAAAGCTAAAACCCGCATAATACAATAGAATAAATAATTTTGGTAATTTGACCACTCGGTCATGCAGTTTGTAATATGGAGCACGGAGGAGATGGACGTGGCTAGGTAACGTCCTCAGAATGGATCATCATATACATCCTCGAATCGCTCTCACATGGGTACCAGAAGGCAGAGGGAATCGGGGTCCACCGCGAGAGACATGAAGGAGGACAGTGGAAATTAAGGTGGAAGTTAACCTAAAATTCTGTAAAAGAAATTCGAAGTTTTGTTTTCATCGGAATTTGAATCTTAAGGTATTGAAATTTTATTTTGAGAATTTCTGTTGCTGTAAGTTCAAAGCTCGTTTTCTCAAAACGAGTTTTCTTTTGCCTTTGAGAAAAGATATTTTGAGAAGGATTTGTCTAATTGAGCTGAAATTTTTGTTTTCTTTTCTCAAGTAAGCCCTGCAATTCCCGAGCAGGTGGCGGATTTAATCAGCCGGTGTCAGGTTACAATAGGTATACAGTTCTAGGGTACAAAAGTATTTTTTCATTAACTTTGGTCTTTAAGCTTTCTAAAAATGCAAACCTACTCTCCCCTGCCTCCCTTGTCGTGACGACAAGGGAGGCAGAGGAGAGAGAGCCTGGGAACGAGGTTAGGGAGAGAAACGTCATTGTTTACAACACCAACATGGCGCTATGACGTCATGTGAAACGGTTCGCTTTATCTCGGAAAAACCTAAATTCATGTAATCTCTATCTCTTTGTACATATTTTCTATACAAATGAAATCGATTCTATGACACTTAAATGTTTTTCAAATCAGATATTTTATCAGATTAAATTTTCACGTTCATAAACTGATAAGTGGTTGTGATCGAAGGATCTTCATTTATCGTATATTGTATGTTTGCTGCCGGGTTGGATTTTGCCGATACTAGATATTCACTCACTTCACTCACTCCACTCACTCAATCATTACTTGATTCAGTATTTATAATCATTATAAATTGCTAAACTGTTGCGATAAATTGTTTGTTGTTGTTGTTGTTGTTGTTGTTGTTGCAAAAGTTGGTTATCGATCAATAATGGGGGTTTTTCTCCTTTTTTTCCATTTTTAGGTCCTGTTATAGCTAGATAACATAATATCCACTTTCTGATCATACAATAGCTACCTCTCTTGGGCAGCAGTAGCGTAGCTTCCGTTTGCCTGTTTGTGACTTGTAAAAACTGATCTTGTGTTTTGTGACACATATATCGGCCCATCACAAATTGCACTGAATAACTCCTTGTCACAGTTTGTGACTCCCAGCTGTCGTAATAACACATTGTCAGTGGCAGATCCAGACTTTGAGCTAAGGGGGTTGGGGAAGCCCTGTTTTGTTTGCTTCCCCTGCTGGCTTTTCTTCCTTCTGCGATTTTTTGTTTTTTCACCCAAAATTGCTGGTTTTCAGTGTCACGCAATTCAAAATAGCTCAAAATAAAAATCAAAACCAGTCAATAGATAAAGTCCAGAATCTGGGAAATGAAAGAAAGTAAATATGCAAAGACTCTCGCCAAAATTCTGGTCACAGCAATTTTTCTTATGCGAGATATGCGGAGAAAGTTTTACNTCTAAAACATTAAAATAATGTTTTTTCTGAGACATAAACTGTTCAGATAGCCAAGTTCCCCGAAATAAGACACGCTTTTAACCATCATGACAGCTCTCTAGGCCGTCACGTAAATGACGCGTCACGCAAAAGCTTAGAATTCAAGCGTAGTGTATCACAAAACCAAAACCCCATCCGGAGCGAAAATTTGTATGAATTTTAGTTTTCAGCTGCTCTTATACATCATTAAAGTAAAACTCAGGAAGATCAATAGTTTTGTGGTTCGAATTTTAGTGACGTCATGTGAAAACCAGCTATAAGGGGGGCGGGGCCCCCGAGCCCCTCCCCTAGATCCGCCACTGATTGTCACCGTGTTGTAGTGCGTCGTTAAAATGAGAATGAGCAGCAGCTATCTAGAAATTTGACTCAGTTTCTTTTCTCTTCAACAATGAGACAAAGATATTTAATGTAAGGTTATTACTCTAGTGCTAGCCACTTTCAGGCATTTCGCGCTTTGCATGATTTTGTCTTTCGAAATACCTTTTGAGAAAATTCTATACAGCAGCTTGCTTTCATTCAACTTTGTTGCCGTGTCAACACCATATGCTCCTTTGTAACGCGTGTGAGCAGCTAATCAAACGGATAACGTATACATATTGAAATGAAGATATTATGTTTTTTCAACTTTGGGAAGGCATTTGCCGTGGTTATTCGCTCATGGACGAGATGTTGTAGTTAGGTGACTGAGAATCGAACAACATAGCAGCAATGAGACTTGATTTTACATGAGGCTCTAAATTAGGCATAGTCAACGCCCCGGCCAACTTTCCTGAGATGGAGGTCGCTGAGGGAAGGAATAGAACCCCCTCCCCATTCCCCACACATTCTTGAAACATATATTGGTTTTTATGGGCCGTAAAAAATAGCTACAATATAGACTAGTATTTTTCCTGTTTTTGTGTGAAAATCAAAATGAAGCATTGCTTTCTAAAAATATATTTAAAAGTGCACAAACACTTTTAAAATCGTTCTTTTTTTATTATTTAGGTTTTACACAGCCTCTTTGACATGGGATTCCCATAAAAACCACACTTCCCAACTAAAATGTGCGACCAAAATCGTCACTAAATGTACTGGTTGCTAAGTACGCCGGTTTACTTTGTTGTGATTCTTGATATTAAGTTTCCTATGATTGTTAAAACACTTTCAATGGATTCTAAAACCTGAATGAAGAAAAGAGGAGGGGAAGATGACACTAGTTCTTCCGTTTTTTTTTTTGTTTTTTTTTTTGAGTCTGCAGAACGCGACAATGTGTTTTTGCAAGTTACAACTTTTGACATTTTAAAATGCAACATATTACAATTTTCGATAGCTATGTTATGCCAGCTTGACAGATGTCTGCCGGTGAAAGAAACTAGTTCTTTTCATGTTAGCTTTTGGCAAACTCAAACAAGATAAACAGTTTTTGTAAACAAAAATCGTTTCTCTCACAGTTTAGGAACACTGTTTGTGACAATTTATCGCTTACGACACAGAAGAAACAGAGTAAGGCCATTATACGAGGAAAATAAAACGTACTTTATTTTCCTTGTTTAAATTAAATGGCCCTAATGTAGATTTATTCCGAATTTCTTGTTTAAATGGCCCTAATGTAAGCTCATAATGTCCAAAGTTCCTTCAGTAAGGAAACGAAACTCGGTATTAAAAGTGAACGGATTGACTCTTGACCAACCGAAGAGTCAACAATGTTATCTTTTTAACTGGAAGACCCGGCATAGCCTACATAGAATTCCATTCCAGCCCTCGAGGCCAACAGCCCTTTAAGCGAAAAACGCCACTGACCTTTTAAAGATTCCAGTGAATCACTCAAAGACGTACAGTATGAGTTGAATGAGATATTTCTGTACAAGGAAATAATGTATGCGCAACAATATCGGCAAACAGAGTTTCATTTTCATCAGTACAAAACTTCACTTTTCAAAAAAAAGAAGAAAACAGTTGTCATTGCGAAAGGTTTTAAGAAAGGTATTTGTATAAAATAAAATAAAATATGCCTGATTTGCAACACACGGCTATTGTCTGAACCAAAACTAAAACAATTTGTTCAGCGAACGAAATATCAGGCCACGTGATTTTCTGTTTTATGTTCAGGTTTGTCCTGTTGGCGCATCTATTCTATGTTATTTTGTCCTTTAATTTTTTTCTTGGACTTTTAAGTGAGAAGTTCAGGGTTTTATTAATAGTATTTCCCTGACCAGGTTTGTTACTGTTTCTGTAGTTTCGAGCTAACTAAACACACCAGGCCCACGCTATACATCATCAAGTGTCTCACCAATCTCGTTTCCAGGCTTGCTCCGTGTGGAGGCTGAACATGGCAACGTTTCCAAAGCAAAAAATCCTTTCCCCGGTCCTAGATGTTTTTGTTTTTTTTTTTTTTTACTTCCTTCTTCTACAGATTTGAAACAGTCTTGTTAAAACGAAAGATAAGAGAAAGAAAATAGACAAAACCTTTGGAGCCAGGGTAGAATCTAGGGTGAGCTAATCGCAAAAAGATTACTTAAAGAAGTTTCAGCTCATGTTGGACCTAATCTGTAAAATGTCTTGAATAATTTCTTTTATTAAAAACTGGATCGTTGGATGATGCAATTCGAGAGTTTTCATTGGTTTAGCCATCATGGGTTATGAGCCATTATACCTTGCTCTTCTGAAACATGGTAAGCTTACGCGTGATTTTTTGGGGTGTTTTTATTTTTATTTTAGTCTAGTTGTCTATATTTGGGGACGTTTGTAGTAAAAGAATTATTCCACTCTCGCTTGTTGCCGATGTGAGACGATTATAACCAACTCGGCGCTACACGCCTCGTTGGCTATCTACCATCTCATATCCAACAAGCGCGAGTGGAATAATTGTTAATAAGTCTTCATTTTGCCCTCAGTAACGTTGGCTTCCATTTATTTTCATTACAAGGCATTATTTCAAGATTTTGATGGTGCGGTGAGTAGAAAGCAATTTTTAGAAATGAGCACCCTTGACTTTTTCTTTTTCTTTTCTTTGTCGGTGTTCCCAGCGTCTTCTCGTGGTATACCTAGGAATGTCCTACTTGTCACTTATATTTTATCGGTACACCGAGAAAATGCAAGTGGACTCGTGGCATATTCCATGATTCACCACGAGAAAGTGTTAAGGGCTTGGTTTCTGACCCAAAAGGCCATATTCGTGTTCCCGGTAATGGACTGGAACTAGTTTGTAATGGAGGCTATTGCCAGGGATTATCATTAAAAAGAGAATAATGCCATTTGCCGTTGAAAAGGCTCCCCGCATTAGACTCAGTTGCAAGCTAGTTCCAGTCCGGCAATACCTGGAATACGAATATGACCTATTCATTGCATCATGTTCATTTGAGCACGGTTTTGAAAACTTTTTCTACTTAATTTGCTGGAAAATTTCGTCAGCCGTGAAAGGTGATCACGTCATAAGTGGTACCCTGGGCGAGAAGCACTCCATGGCATGATGATACATCAACTTTTTGAATTTGTTACTTATTATAAAAAAGGTAAAATTTGCGTCAGGCCAGTGGCACATACAGCCGGAACTTATCCTGGTTTCTGAAACGTGAAGAGACCAGAGGTATTTCTTTTCTCCCCGGCCCCTGGATGGGATGCTAGTTCATCGCAGGGTTAACCCCGGCATTAAATTTACCGGTACCCAATTATACACCTGGGTGGAGAGAGGCACTGTGAGAGTTTAATGTCTTGCTCAAGAACACAACGCAAGACGGGGGAACAACGAAATGACCGCGACCAAGCCTCAAACGCGGAACGCTCGATCCGGAGTCCACCGCGCCTCCATTGCTTTTTATCATAACCACATTTATTTATCTACTTCTTTCCTTTACTCAACTTTCATGAGAACCATATTGTAAAGTAGATACGATCCCGAGTCTGATTTAAGGTCCAGTTCCGTCAGCTTGAACTGGACTGCCACAGAGAGGAGCGTGGGTCTAGTAGCGAGCATTGAGCCGCTCGTACATCCTTTATCTCATTTCCTTGGTTACAGCTAGACTTTCACAAGAAGTGAATGTAACCCGAAAAGCCCTTTAATATAATCTTATTATGGGGTCGCAATCCGTTTTTTGGAGATAATGCGATTTACAAGCATTAACTGACCCACCCGACTCATCTTAATGCCGCAAAAGTTGTCCATGATATTAAACAATTAGTTTATGAGCTCGAGATTTCTATCGCGTGATAGTTGACGAGGGCCGAGTCAACTATCACACATAGAAATCGAGAGCGAATATTAAATCTAATTGTTTTAGTATAAATCTACTAGTCGTTCAAAACTTTATCCAAATCTCTTCACAGGCACTTCGAAAACGCAAGGAAGAGGCCGCCCGTTTGCTAAACAACCGTACACTGTTGACCTCCTCACTATCTACAACAGAATAGATAGCGAGCAGCTTTGCCAATCAGAGAACGGCATCGTGATGAAACGCTGGTAGATTTAGATATTGTAACGCAAGAATCATCCAAAAAGAAACTGAATGTGAAGCAATTTAGGTTTATTTTTTGGATCAATTTTCATTACTTGATCGTAAAAGAACGATGGTAGTATAAAAACAGTACAAAAATCGGGGGTTGATGATGGGCTGATATTTTAACCGACATCTGATCGCTGGGCGACATCTGACAAAGATACTCAACACACACTTTACACACCTTGATATCGGTATCGTTTTAGACGCTTAGCATACATTGGCAGAAGTCTGAAAAGCGGCAACAAATGTTGATGAAGTTGAAATATATATTGCTTCAGTTCATGTTCTGTGTTGTTTACGGTTTGAATGTTAATCAACAAACACAGCAGTTTTAAGATTATTTTGTTCCTGATCTCTCACGATCTTACAAACGTTACTGTGACTCAACTACGTCAGTAGCTCATGGACAACGTCAACTTTAAACGGGATAGATTCTTTGGTCAGTGATATTGTTTTTTCTGTTTGCTTTGAAAAACATTCCTGTAAGTGTTTTTAAACTACGCCCACGGGGTATAAAGAATACCCCACAGTACGAGTCAATAGAGCAATGTGTTCGTCTTCTTCCAATTGACTCTACTCTTACTAAATTCTAACGGTATTGTTTTGAAATTCATTCTCAGAAGTGTCTCGATTCTTTGTATAAATTGTATTAGTTCTTTTCACGGATCATTGATCGTGAGTAAGGCGGAATTTCAGAGTAACCTCTTGATCCCAATGCATGAATTATACATCAAAGCGTATATAATTTATCCCCTGACAACTATGAAGTTCATGCTTAAGCCAAAAAACAGATCGTCATTTACGAGTTGCTGAATAATAGACTGATAATGACGTTAAGAACACTGCGCGTAGGTGCGCGGCGCTGTAACAGTAATTAACAACAATTCGTTCCCTCCAAACGTGGGTCCGTTGGCATCACAACATATGGACATGTAAATTTGGCGCGAATTTTCCGCTTTGGAGCCAAATTCTTTTTATCGTTCCTGCCAATCAAGCTTAAGTTGCCATGGGGAACAATGAGTTAATAATTATGCGTGGTGAAAAAGTGAAAAAACATTAAAAGTTCGTTCATAAGCACATCGCAACCGATAATTTAGTGGTCGCGCAACGAATCGGTCAGTTAAAAGTTGCAAGTGCGCGTCGAATGTTGTAAAGAAATGAGAGAAATGGATCAAAATATTGCTCAAAGATGATTGCCTACAGTGTCCAACAATACACTTCTCAGGATAACACAGGCGAGTAATATTAGTTGGGCTTTGTATTCGATTTTCCCTAATAACACGAGGGCCGAGAACTTAACAAAGCAGGTTTTTGTTCTGTATCATCCGCAAGCAGTGATGATGATTCACTCATGGGCCTGACACGAAGATCGACGCCTAACCCCCTTGCTCCAGGGTTCTTAAATTAATTGTAAAATCCACAAAGTGTATTTTAAGATCGAAGGTTTGAACGGTGTGGCGGAATAGCCAACGGTTTGATGAATTGAGCTGTTTATGTTAAGCTTATCTCTAATGGAAAACTTGGAGATGAACACTTGATTAACTTCTGCCCTGCTGCACCCAAAAGCACAGAAATGAATCTCTTATTGCTGCAAAAAAAGCCGAGCGTGTGAAATGTAGTTCGTTTGGAAAATCGTTTGTTTCATTTCCACCGGAAGCAGTCAACCTTGAAGTGGCTTTGTGCGTTTAAATGGCTTTACTGTCGTTCTTTCTTCAAAGCTAACGAGCGATAAAGACAAAAAGAATTCTAATATTTTGACCGTTTTTAACAGATAATAACCACTACACCTTTAGGAAATTAACGTTCTTGGAAACATAATTTTTCGGTCAAATAAACAACAAATTCAAAATATAATTGTAAAAAGAAAATGTTTAGTTTGTGTTTTTCCATATCAAATAACCAACAACATAACGCTCTCTCTGTCACTTTCTATTCCACAGTTGTTTACGGCCCTAACATTGTAGCTGTTATTGCCAGCATTGTTTCTCTCGCAAGTATAGTAGTGTTGTGTAGCTGGTGTTACAAATGTTGGAAGGGGTCAGAAGACGACAAAGAAAGCACTGGAAGTGGTGATTACGATTCGTCCTCGGACTCTCAACTGTATGGCGTTCCCGGACACAAATACCGTGCATTTGCCAGATATTCATCGCTGTCAGACGTGTCACCGCCTGAAAAAAGGCTCGAATCACCCATACTCGGTCATCAGAAAAAATCTTTGAAATTTTCTCAGCCCCCTCCACAAGAGTACGACGTCCAAGCGCCCCAGCCCGATGTTTCCAATATCGTGATTCCTCCCGAACCACCCTTGATCGAAACGTCTTCTAAAGAGGACCTTGGAAAGCTTTACTTCTCAATTACCTACGATTCCCAAGAAATCGTTCTCTCGTTGAAAATTATTAAAGCTTCTGGACTACCCGCCAAAGATTTTAGCGGAACCAGCGACCCCTTTGTAAAAATTCTGCTTCTTCCAGACAAGAAACACAAAATGGAAACTCGAATCAAAAGGAAAAATCTAAACCCGACTTGGAACGAAGTTTTTAGATTCGAAGGATTCACACACAGCAAGTTATTGAGTCGAACGTTGTATCTTCAAGTACTGGACTACGATCGTTTTTCACGAAACGATCCGATTGGAGAAATCGAAATCCCACTCAGCGATATTGATTTGGGGCCCATGACTCTCACATTTTGCAAGGACCTACAGCCCTGTAAACGCCAGGTATGGTTTGTTGTAAACTTTTTTTTTTTGGTTTACTAATTAAAAATTGTTTTTTCGTGCACCAAAATATTCCCTTATCTTGTAGCTCTTGAAGATGCTGGTTGTGGTGCCACGCAATATTTTGGCGCGGCTTCTTTAAAATGGAAAGTTATGAAAACATCTCAGTGGCGCCTCGCGTAAACGGCTTAATAAATTTTTCAGAAATGGTTTTGTTTTTGTTTTTTTTGAACTTTTCTTGTGTTAAATCCTTTTAACTTCACAATACAATACTCTCGCGAGCAGGGTCCAAGAAACAATAATTATTATTGTGGCAGATGGATGTCTTATCAATAAATACCGTACTTACAGTAATAAAGTTCTATGAATACTAATATTCTGATATTCAAGGGATAGTAGACAACATGCCGAGCGCAGACTGCTGTATGATTAGAAAAGAAAAACTAGATGTCTGTAAAAAATATGACAGTAATAAAAAAATAGCATCCCTTGAGAGAGTTTTTTTTCAAGACAAACCTTTTGGTGAAAAAAAAAACGAATAAATAATTTAAAGAGTACAACTGCCCCCCTCTGTTACACGAACAACTTTAATTTATTCTTTTCAATTACAGTCTGATATCTGGTTTTTTTTTTTACTTTTAAATTTTTTTACTGTGTCTGTGATGTACATAAAGGACACTTTCAGAATTTAAGCTGATACCTTTGAATAGAAGCTAAGAGCATAATGAAATTTGATACTCTTCATCCCTTCGTAGAAAGGCTCTGAAATTTAAGGTTGTGTAAATTTTAAGATTGGAATACCTCTAAAGTTCAATGTATTTTTTTATTGTATTTCATGATTTCTGAATATTTTTAGCTGAAGAAGAATGAGTAACCATAATAAATGCATTTGAAGATGGCACTAATAGAAACTTAATTCAGCATTGAATGTGGAAAGTGTTTCATTTTTGATCTCTTCACCTCAAAGTAATTCTCATTCCTTTTTCATTATATAAAAATTAAAACCCTGGTAATGAAAAATTACATTTGATGTTTTGGAGGAACACTGAGGAAAATACATCAAATAGATTGTAATCAGTATTGGATAGAAATTAAATGCTCACAAATAAATAAAAATATTATATTGCTAATTCTTACAGATGTTAAGTTCATCCGCATCCCACATTAAAAGCAGAATTACAGTATGCCAATAAAATGTGGGATTCAAACTCCCACATTAGCTCTTTATCGACATTATCTGGCTATCAGTTGTCACTGGCCTGTTCAAGACATTTATTATAAGCTGGTTTCAGTTTTCCTACATCATGTTTCCTACTTGCTGATTATTCTGGAGACACTTAAAGGTCATAAGAGTCTTTTTGTTACATTGACTAACTTCAGTTTTTTTTGTTAAGAATTCATTGATGCATTTGCCTAAAGAGCAAAAAATGATTTCAAGCATTTTGATAACCTTTTTTCGATGTTTACAATGAATGGAATAAAGCAAAGCATGTCACATCGTCATAATGCAGTTCCTATCGGTTTTAAAATAATAGGAGATTCTGCCATTTAAAATGTAAATCATTGACACGTAGGTGTATTGTAAATTGACAACAAAAAACCAAAGTATTGATCTAAGGAGACAAATGGTTTGAGAAAGTTAAGAGTAACATTAACAAGGACACAGATGAATTTGTTAACAAAGAAATTTTATTTATACAAAAAATCCACTGAAGGGAAAGTGTTTTGTTTTTGTCATTTCACTCCTTTTAAGTGCCAATTCTGACTGTTTCCTCATAAAATCTTTATTTGCTTTATTAATGGAAGGAGCTAAGTACACAGAAAAGATAATTTAAAGTGATTAAGATTTAATTAAAATGTTTTAGGCTTGAGTTGGTTTCCTAGCAATTTGTGAAAACTCCCACAATATTGTCCTTTCTGGAGATTATGTCTGCTCTCCAAAATAAAATCACAAAAACTGATATCAGAAGAAAATGATTTATGCAGAGCTTAATAACAATCACAAGTTGTTGCAAAGTGTATACAAATTCAAATTGTAGCAACTTAATAGAATGAAAGCAAACTTTTATCACTTGCATCACAAATAAAATGTATGTATGTATGTATATGTATGTAATGATGCAGCATAATAAAAATTATTATATACAAAAGAGGCTTCACTGGATTTTAGTTATAAGCCCTGCTTTTAACACACAATTTAACTTATTCTCCTAAACAAATGCATACACATTTCACAATACTGTTGAACACCTTCAGAAAAACAGACACCTATATCACAGACAAGTACACTTAGTCCCAGAGAAAATAGAATTCATAAATCTCCACAGACACAGACACCTCCATGATATGGACACCCAGTTCTGCCCCTTTGGTTTGACTGCAGTATTCCGGAAAAATTAATTTGACTGGATTATTCTCTGTTCAACAGGAACACTTGGGTGACCTCCTAATCTCGATGATGTACCAACCAACAAACAACAGAATTGTAGTAGTAGTCATGAAAGCCACAAAGCTAAAGAAGATGGATGTCATTGGATCTTGTGGTAAGAAAACAATATTGATCCTGGTAACTTATCCTTGAAGTGTACATTACTCTAAAATGCAGATATCATGCACATACAGGTTGGATCACTCCCTAACTTTATCTGTTTATTAGGTATGTGGCGCCAAAAGGTAAGGTTTTTCAGCCACCTTGGTCATACAGAGATTATAGGATGTATCCATTGTGAGGTGAAAGGGGTATCACTTTTTGGGTCAGATCTGACGTGGGGTATTAAAAATTCCATATTTAGGCGGTTAATACATCAAGAAGTGGGCTGCGCAGTCTCCAAAAACATTTAGGCCACAATTTTGATATCCCCATCTCTGTTAAATTGTCTCAATTTTAATGCTCTTGAACTTCTGTCAATAGGAGAAGCTTTGCTGATGTCATTTTTCCTCACAATTTAACATACAACTTTGCGCAGAGAAGGCACCACGCTAGACAGGAATTGACAACAAACATTTCATGAGCTTGTGAAACTTAGTAATTGATGAAATTTATGGCTCTTTGAGTGTAATATTCAAGGAAATATTGGCTTTCAAACACTGGAAAAAATTCTGAGAGGAAAAAGTGCTAATGAGCTCAGACATTCGTTCTAAAATTTTGAGTTTTTAACCCTGGGTCACACAAAAAGTATTCAATACATTAGGCTCAAATTCCTTGGGACAGTTAACTACCTGCTTCATGGCAGGAAAAAATGTTGGCCTGCAGTACTTTTAGGGAGATATTCAGTATTTTATGAAAGCTGGGGTGGGATGAGGGGGGTTAGGTAAGGTTAAGTCTGCATACAAGCCAAGTGGCGCATCAGGCTGGATCTTATCCCGGTTTCTGTAGCATGAAGTGACTAGGAGTATTTCTACTCCCCCCTGGATGGGATTCTTGTGCATCTCAGGGTTACCCCCAGCACTAAGTTCGCCGGTAACCATTTACACACCTGGGTGGAGAGTGGCACTGTGAGAGTAAAGTGTCTTGCCCAAGAACACAACACAATGTCCCCGTCCAGGGCTTGAACCCGGACCGCTCGATCCAGAGACGAGCGCACTAACAATGAGGCCACCACGCCTCTCACTGGGACGAGGGGGGTTGGAGTACCCTAATCCCCGGACTGAATAGTTTAAGTCTGCATGCGAGCCAAGTGGCCCATCAGGCCAGAACTTACCCCGGTTTCTGTAGCATGAAGCAACTAGGAGTATTTCTACTCCCCCCTGGATGGGATGCTAGTCCATNGATCTGGAGACGAGTGCACTAACCATGAGGCCACCGCTGAATAGACTGTAGTGCATATTGGTGCGGAATTGAGGTCAAGGTGGAAAAAAATACAGGCAATGTAAGAAAATGTCCACCTCAGCTTTTTTCTCGTGTTATTGTTTGTATACACTGAGTGTACAAGACTGTCCAAGCAACATCCCCTTTTAATCCTGAATTCTATTCTATTATTTTCTATGGAACATAAACCAAACCCATGTGATTCAGTTTACACTTCTAATAAATAAATAAATAATCTTTGGTATTTTAGACATGAAATAGGTAGGGCACAGGACTGGCATCCTTTTCTTACAATTTTTCAAACACTTCAAGTGGAAATTTAATATGGTTTTGCTTTACCTTTTTGGTGTTTCATAATAATTAACTTTTAATTAATTTTTTAGATCCATATGTCAAGATCTACTCTATGCATGGAGGAAAGAGACTAGACAAGAAGAAAACACCCATTAAGATGAGAACGAAGGAACCTGTGTGGAATGAATCCTTCATATTTTATGTCCCAGTTGACAAACTAAGAGACATAACATTTGTTTTCACTGTGATGGACTACGACCGTATCACACAAAATGAAATGATCGGTCAGGTTATCTTAGGATATCGCACTACTGGGAGTTCATTGCGACACTGGACTGAAATGATGGGCAACCCCAGGAAGCCTGTGGCCCAGTGGCATAGACTTCAACTTTACTAGACAAAAGCCAAAAAAATATTAATTCTGTGGTGTAAAATATTATAATAATAATTCTACACTGCGTGTGTAATTTCACCTCCTACATCTTTCGTCAGATTTCATCCACACCCAGACAAAGAATGAGTAATATTTAACTTCTAATCAAGTTTCATGTTACCACAAAGATTTACACATCAACACTAAAGTAACTGTAGTAACATAATATTCTTCTGATAATTGAGAATATCCACATGCAGGGCAGTTGACAGATTACTAGTAACCTCGAACAGGGTTCATGCAAGCCATTTAATTTGATCTTTAAAATTTGAAGGCCTTGAAGGTATTTTATTCAAAGTGCATTTGTTTAAGTTTTGTTCTTAACATCTTTAACTTAACACTTATGGATTTCATGTAGACAAGAGTTTCAATAATGGACTGTTTAAGACCTCTGATAGTGCATTCATGTAGTTTAAGCCTTCAATGTTCTTCCCAAAAAAGTATGAACCTTGAGCCTTATGCATGTTCTCTACAGACCTGTTTATTGTTCTCTGATCATTGAAGTCCATCCTAGCCAAAGGTCATTTGTTGGTACAAGGGAGGTAATTCAAGGTAGGCAATTCCCAGTTAAAGAGTTTCTCACTGTACATGTAGGTGGAGATATTACACCACAAACATTACAAGATGTATAAAAATTTAAAAAGTGGTATTTTCAATTATGATACTAATTTAAAAGACTTGAGTGCTCAGTGGTGAAATAAATTATATTGTTCATGGTTGTTCATTACAGTCATTGTGATTTATTTCCTTATGTCTTCACTCCCAAAGATCCCAACCCTGGCTATTAACCTGAAGGGTGTCAAGGTATTTACCCTGGGGGGACCCCCGTATAAAAAGGACAGGGGTGCTCCTTGGAAATTTTAAAAAGAAACTCAGAGGTACCAAGATCCTGTTTTGAGTGTGTGGCTTGAATTTTTTCACCCCTAGGAGTTACCAATTCTAAGACAACGCAATATCTCCTGTCATATTGTTTGCACCTCAATACCCTAAAAGGTACCAAAACTGCTTTTTAACCCATAAAAGGTATGACGAGCACCCCCATCCTTTTTATGGAAGTTCCCCCAGGTATTTACTGCTTTAATGTGACAACTTGTTTTCTAAAATATGCATGTACTTTATGGGTGAATGTCAAATGGAACAAGTCATACATCTCTTGTTGTTGAACCAAATTTACTCTCCTTACTTGATATTCTTTACTAGATTGAAAATAAAGTACATCAAGATCATTGGTAACAGTAAATTTGGTTCAACCACAACCAATGTATGGCTCAGAGCACTCATGGAATTCAGTCGTAAAGAAGATCACTTTCTGTTAATTGACAGAATTGGACACATTGATTTTGATTGTCTGGGGTAGATGTAACCTTTGACACTTTAGTAGAGCTTTTTAAATCTTGCATAAAAGCTAGCCATTCTTAACTGGAGCTTAAACTTTGTGTGGCATGTCACCGCGACACACATAATAAAAAGAGTGGAATTAATCTTTCTGCCTTCTATTTTTTATCAGCAGCCTAATTTTGATTCACCCTCAGCTAACAGAATTATATTTGAATGCTAATTCATGAATCCATAGTTTCAAGCTTTCAATGGTCAACATTCTAACCTGCTGCATATGATATTAAATTACCAAAAATACAACAAGACAAAATGAAACATGGAATATAATTAAATTAAGTTCACACCAATCAGGGGTAGATTTCTCCTACTTGGACAAACAGAATGTCAACCTCAATGGTGCCACTTGTTCTTGAAAGCAAGCAATACAGTCAACATAAAGGAAAAACAATTGAAATGCAAGTAGCAGTTTTTACCATTCTGATGGCTTTTTATTTCAGATCAGTTTGTTAATAAATACTACCTGTAACAAGCAACAATAACGCAGTTAACTTATCAAATACTCGTTTAGTCCTGATGTTTAACATAAACTCTTGAAACCACTACCAGTAACTGCATTTATTATTGCAGTAGCTACCACAATTAAATCCAGTATCAAAGTGCTTTATTTGTATGTACTCTCCTGACCTGTTAAAAACCCTGTTATTAATAAAGATACTTTCCTGACCTGTCCTCTGAATTTGAAGAATTATAATTATACAAAATTCTCCTAACTTCCAATCAGCCTTAAAGGCAGCATTACTATTGGCCATTAATTTCTTCTTTTGGTAATTATTATCAAAAGAAGAAATTGATGGCTGATCGTAATGCTGCTAAGGCTTATAGGAAGTAGACAGAATTTTACAACAAAGAGTACATTGTGCAGTACCAGAAAATATCCATACTCTCCCCACAGAAGGGATTGGAATTTCCTTGGGGCTGGGGGGTTCTTTAAGACCAAAAAATTTAAAGGAATGTATCAACTTTAATTGGAATTTCCAGAGGGGTTGGGGGGTCTTGGAAAAAATCCCTTCTGTGGGGGAGGTATGGATATTTTCTGGAACTACACATTTGACATTAGTTATGTCCATTACTACTCTAGTAGTGACATGAAGTCCAGTCACAAAATAAGTTTGATTTATGAGTTCAAATGCAGAGTTCCAAAATTTCAATTTTTTTTTTAAAAAAGTAAACATGCCCACTTGAAACATTTTCATAACTTACACAGTGATAACTTGGAAACAAGCTTTGTAACCCCAGTATTTTATTACTGAAAGAACTACAGTAGATTTATAAGGGGTTCAATGCCACCTTAAATTTTCAACGTCTAAAATACACACACTACATGTACAGGTCATTGACCTTAGTCACGGATCAACATTTGCCTCAAGCAGCAGCTCCTTTGCCCTTCTAGGACTTTTCTTGCACATAACATGGGTGGGCATTTCAGTGACGTCCAGCCATTTTGGTTGGACACAGTCGTGCAAGACGTTTGCTGCAGTTATTTCACACAATCATACACTTTTTGCATTCTTTAGTGCTTGTAAAATTGCTTATCAGAGCCTGCTTTCAGTTAAGCCTGTTTTAAGACTTTTATGTTTAACAACCAAGTAAAAATAATACCCTTGACACTTGTGTGTGCTGAGGCAAGGGAAGCTTTGAAACACATACGCTCAACTTCCTCTGTAATGTACGGGAAGTCTCTGTTGCACTTTCATCTAGTTTAGAAATTTTTCTTTAGTGCAGTCACTGTTCAGATTAATGGGGGAGGCAGTCCGAGCTGTTCTTGAACCTGTCATCTCCATAAGGGGTTGACTAAGCAAACAATAACTTATGCTGAATGTTTATCAGTTATCCGTTCACTTAATATCCACATAAACCCAGCCATATGTAGCTGGTGGTGTATATATTAAAATATGTTGTCTACAAAAAATACATTATCTGGCATGCGTCCAGTCATGGCAACCATACTTAAAGCCAAGGTACCAAATTTAATTACTTTTCCTTATCAAATGACAGGTGACTTAAACTGGATGCTGACTGCAAGAATTAACATTGACTAATCCCAACTGGGTATTGAACTTCAATATTAATTATTATTTTCTTGCAGATTATTTAAAATTCTCAAATATATTTTTCTACAAAATAAGTTGTTACTGTTTCTTTTTTTCTCAGAAACAGCATAATGTAAGCTTCACATTGACATACAAAATAGTACAATGTAAGTTACATACATGTATCAACTAAAAATAAAATAAAAAGTTAAACTTCATGACACTTCCAAGAAATGTTAACATCATTGAAAATATTGAAATATTGCGATTTTTTAACAATTGCCCATTTTAAGAACATTTATATAGATTAGCTTCAAGCTAATACATGTACAAACTTTCTCACACCCAGCTAACATTTCAATTAAGTCGTGTAGATGTACACATGTAGACCCCAGACAGCCTAGCTGAGTTGCCCTTAAAGCTTTACATGCAAAGCAAAGTTTGCACTGACAAAATCATGCAGTTAGATTGTCTTCTGAATGAGGGTGTACACCCCTCACCAGGGCTGTCATTAAGTTTTGATTCACCCATAGCCTTGATGTTCACACCCATAACAAAATTGTTAATTTTGGGGTGAATTGTACCAATGACAGGCAAGTTTACCCATAACAACAAGGGCCCAGAAAACAAACTCAGTCATACCAGGTGTTACAGGTTAAATAATTATTATTGGCTGTTATTGAGAGCCCTGCTCACTATGATTCTGCCATCATAAATCACTCATCAGATCTATAGCTTGGCAAATTGCACAGAATTTGTTATGATATGGGAGGATACCTATCTGAAGTGCTTCTACCGGTACCCCATAACTTCCGAGAGCTTGAGCTCTGTGAGGTTGACCCATAAGATGAGCCCATGCTTGAAAGAGACTTGGAGTGAGAGCCAAGAGTTGGAATCAAAGGTCGCTCAATGGCATCAGCCTCATCATGCAAATGTTTATAATGAAAACTATGCCCTCTCGGACGGAATTCTGAGGTGAAGTTCTGATAAAAAAAAAAACAACAACAAATCAAGAAATGCAACTTGAACATGTCATTAATATTTTAGCCTTTAACATGGTATATAGTTAATTCAGCTCAAGCAAGTGCAAAGCCCAAACATATGATAATTTTATTAAATTATATGCAAAAGATGGTTGAGTCGGTAACTAACCCCTGAGTCATCATTCACTGCAAACACTGGAACAACATAATCATCTTGGTTGCATTCATTATTTTCTGTGTCAAATATTGCTGCCATCGTCCACAGTGGTAACAACCATCTGGTAATCTGAAACAAATTATAGCAAATTATTAACAACTGTTTCACAAAGTGCAGGTTGGGTGCCTGAGACATACAGGTGCTTCCACTATTAGCAGCCAGTTCCTAGATGGAGGCCGCTCCCATGGCTGGCAAATCCTGGCAACCCAACCGTAAACCCTCACATGGAAGGGAGAAAAGCAGGCACCCACAACACTGACAAAACAGTGGAAAGAGGGGGAGGGACAGGAGAGGGGAAACAACCTCTGAGAAGAGTTCCCCCCAACAAAGAAAACGTTAATGCTCAAGAAAATGCAGAATAAACACAAAGAACAAAATGGAACCCTGGCAGATACACATACTTAAATGCTGCTGCCCTCGAAGGTAAGACTTGAGCTCCTTGTTAAAAAAAAATTAAAAGAAACTGTGGCTGACAGGTTATACAGGTACAGTTGAATTAAGAGCATTCGTTGATCTCTCAAGGCACTCTAAAGTATGATCTACATCCTCTTTGCTCTTAGGAGTTCTCAGGTAGCCATCTAATGGTCCTGATGGATGGAAGGATGTGTCCACATCAAAGAGAGAAAAATTGGAGGACTACAGAAGGATCAATTTTGCATGACACGTTGTCCACTGGTCAGAAAGATGTCTACTTCAAATAAAAACAAGTCCCTTCTTTCAGTTTTTGTCTACTTTGTTATGACAATAAACTGGAACACTGGAGAATAGCCTTAAGGACATGATCTGTTTTTCCATCTGTGCTTATATTTTCCTTGATCCGTTCTTGTTAATTGTCAGGACTGTCTTTTTTTTCGTGAACTTACATTAACAGTGATGTAGACTGCTGTGTAGCCTGCCTTGTTTGACAGCTGTAACAAGAAAAAAACAATTGATCAGACTTCACAAGAAAAAAAGTAAAAACAATAAAATTATAGTTGGTCACAAGGAATCTGATATCATGGAAAAAGTCCTTCTTGCTAGAAAAATCTGTCAGCAAATTACAGTGTGGGACTCAGAGGTCTTAAAAAACTCCAATAATTTTTTTGCAAAAAATGGATGAATCTTGCTTACAAAAATTCCTTGACAGTTATTCTTTGGTCCTGCTGCAAAAAAACAAGATATTTTAATATTTATGGCAGCTGTAGTATATATAATAATTATTATAAACAATGAAGTAAAAGAGGTGGGCAGTATCTTCAAACTGTTGTTCACCATAAAGTGAAGAAGAATTTAATCAATTTTACGTACATGTACTACTAAAAAATAGTAAGTTATAAAACTGCTTTTAACTTACTGACTCTCATGACAATGTCGTGCACTAGGCTGATTAAGGCAGACACTTCAAAAATAAAGATTATCCTGTAATGAGAAAAAAAAAATACATTAATGCAGGACATAATCCATACAAGCAACATACAATGTTGTTGATTAATGCAAATGTAAGGACAGTTAGGCAGGTCTACACTTCATCCATTATGTTCAGAGGCATGCAGCTAAAAGCTGGCTAGCTACTGGTTAATTTTACTCTCCAAAAGCATGGAAGTATTTTTGAAGGTTCACAGGTCAGAGAAGCAGATTGCACATGTCAATGAGTCATAGTTTTTCTACTTCCCTGTACTTGTGTTGATCAATACATGTCTTTCTGTTAACATTCAACTAAATCAGCTGAATGTACCTACTATATAGAAATGTACGGGTATCTTGTAATATCAAAAACTTAATGTTTCTATGCTCACCCCCACAAATCTCTTTTCTGTGCAGTCCTGTTATCTGCTAACATCCTCACATTGTTGAGCTCCCTACAAGGTAGCCAAATGGATGTTCATGAGTTACACAACAGTAACTGCTACATATTTCAGCTGAAGGTTAATATGTATAAAGTTGTGTAACGGACAATAGGACCAGACATGTTGAATTGAGCACACATAGCAGATATATTTATTAAACTGTACATAAATGCATGAAGAGTAGTATTTGATTCATTCAATCACTTTAGTTAAGCCCTACTCTTTTACCTTGTGATAAAAATTCCTGAGACCATGAAAACTTGGACAACTAGAATTTCAGTGCTAGACAAGATAAGCCACTCGGGTTCTGTAATAAAAACAAGCATATGGTTTTTCTGAATAGTTTGTTTAACAAGATCTCCACAAATTGTTCAAAATATCACTGTGCAGTCATAAAATAAAGAGTCACACTCCTAATTAAACTCGATTTCTGCCGCTCTCTTGAGTCTGGTCTAAACATGGCTTCCAGGAGGAGCGTGGGCCCTTTTCTCGAACAGCCACTGGTAGTCGAGCCTACCTTCAAATGAACTTTAAAATATCAAAAACATAATCATGTCTACAGGTGACATACCTGCACATTCTTTGTATTCAGTCTTCATTGTTGCAAGTCCAACAATTACAATTATCACAATGATAATGAACACAGCTCCCACTACTTTGTTAGAGTACCTGGACGTGATTAAAAATAACACTGTATCAGACTGTTAGTGTATGCATTGACAGTTATTGCATGACAGAGTGTTCAGTTTCACTGCAAGTACACCAGCCTATATTAAATGTAAAATGTGCAGTTCCAGAAAATATCCATATCCACCCTGAGGGGTACTCCCAGAAAAGTTGGGTGGGGGTGTGTGGCCCGCTTCCCAAAACCCTTACCCTATTTATGACCAAAATCTGCAATATTCCCTACCCTATTTATGACCTGACCAAATACTCAATACCCTATTTATGACCTGACCATTAAATCAAAACCCTGTTTCAGACCTGTGTTAGAATATGTTCCCTAGTTCAGACCAATGTTAAATTACCGTAAACATAATTTGTGAAAGGCTTTTGTTAATTTTCTTTTCAATAATGATGAAAAAGTTGCTTCTTCTTAAAAACATACCCATATCAAGGCTAGAGTGCAATAACCATACCCTATTTATGCATCAGTCAATTCCAGCAGTGCCCATACCCCCCCCCCCCCCCCCCCCCNCCCCCCGGCCCCCCGGGCTAGCCCCCAGGCATTGGCATTTTTTTAAAAAAATGGGCAAATTCCCCAGGGTGGGGACACATAAGCTGTCTAAATGCCCCGGGGTGGGGATAAAGAAAGAGGGCAAATGCCCCTCCCCCGGGATTGTCGCCTTCCAACACCTCGACAGCTTTTTTAATTAATCAGTGAATAAAATGGTCAACTGTTCAGTATTTTAATGCAACAGTAAGACTTCAAGGGCAACAGTACATGTTAGTTGATTCTGATTATATTTATTTCTTTATATTTGTTTTTAACAGTTTGCTATCGGATAGCAGGGATTGCGGCGGACGTGCCCCCAGCCGCGAGCGATGATAAGCGCCTGTATTTTAATTTGCAGGCTACTTTTTCTGTGAAGAATCAAGACATTTTAAATGATGATGCATTGCATTTTAAGCTCGCAAGATCTGTCTTGAAGATCACATCATTTGAATTCGCAAACCTTGAGTATTTTAACTCCACTGTCACGAATTTAAAAAATGTTAGGCTAGTTTTGAATGCGAAATGTGAAATAGTCGTGCTCACGTCAGTGATTGTTTTGTGATAAACAAAATATAGTTCACCTTACAAGTAATGAAGAAATATCTAAAATTGAGAAAACATACTTTTAAAAACATCTTCAAGTATCTCTACTGTAGTCCCTGACGGACAAGCCATTGTTCGACAAACGCCTCGTCTTTCTCGATGAACTCATCCATGGCACTTTCCAAAACACATGTGTCGAATGCCCGGGGGTGGCCCCGGGGTACGCAAATGCCCAGCCCCCAGGCCACGATAAAATTGCAGATGCCCCACCCCCAGGACTGACAACGTGAGCAAATGCCCCGCGGTTGCCTGGGGGGGAGGGGATGGACACTGCTGGAATTGACTGATGCATTATGACCAAAATGGCCCAAATAGGCTAAAATCAATACCCTATTTATGACCAAAACAGCTGAAAAACCATACCCTTTGAGGCCGCACATACCTATATAGCCCATATAAGGGAGTACCCCCCTGGGAAATTCTTAGGGGGGTGGGATTCAATTCAATTCTATTTTTTCTTTATAATATATTTAATATTTCATGGTCAAGGAAATGGCAGCGAAAAAAAATAAGAATTTTCAGTTAAAGTACATGTACATACATGGAAAGATCTACATACATTATATGTACAAAAAAAAAAATTAAATGGCAACACAAAGCAGAGGACACTCTGGAGTGAAATAAGTCAGCAATATTGCCTTCACTGGCAGTAATCTGTTTAGTTAAATCATACCTCTTTAAACTATCCTCAACTCCCATCATCCTAGCTGCTAGACAGCAATGAAAATTGGTGACAACAAGGAACTAATGAGAGAACAAATATAGAGCACGTGAGTTCTAACATTACATGTATGCTTGCTTGTTGTTCCCTTTGACCCTTATCAGTTACCAGACAAAGATGTACTCAATAAATCATTCCAGAATCGTCTACTATAAGCAAATTCTGAAAGTTCCCAACCAACTGTGCCCTAAATCACAAACTAATATCTTGTTAGACAGGTAACACTGTTTGTTATAAGATCAAGATAGCCTAGAGGGCACAGAGACAAATTTAATGATGGAACATTTTATAACACATCTATCGGACTGGGTTTGGTAATAAATCAATTATTAACCAAGTTAACTTGGGACGATACTGAGAGAGCTAGCTCCATTTGATTCATACTGTCGAGATCTAGAGTCGAATAGGGCCTTCCCACTTGTTTATTAATTATATTATTTTTGTTGTTTTTTTAAACTTCATAACAATCCTACGGGGTGGGCAGTCAGAGAACTGAACAAAATTCCTGCAAAGGAAAAGCGGAGAAAACTGTCCTGAATGGGAAAAGAATACTCCTGTTGAGGTTAAGGTATCAGGCTGCAAAGAAAATTCATTTGCATGTTTTGCAATAAAAAATAGCCATAGTGGAGAGTATTTTATAATATGCATGGACAACACGCATTGGTCATATTTTGCAACTTGAACTGAATGAAATTTCACCTGGCAAGCAACTTTAATGAACTGTGTTATCAAGTGCAGAGCTGTAATCGCCAAGTAAAGCCAGTTGATTCCACTGAAATAAAAAAATATGAGTTACTAAAATGAAATTATTATAGCTTTCATCAACAAACAGATGGGTCACTATGACTGTAACAAGAAAAGACCAATGTTAGGCAGTTAAAACCATTAATAGTAGAACCTCAATATATAACAGAGTTGCAAGGGAATTTGAAAATGTTTTTCGGCAAATGGCCATAACTTTTGTTTCACCTAAGTCCTTAAAGTGGTACTATGACAAAAATCGCATCTTTCCTATCGCAGCCATTTTAAAACATAAACAAGTAGCCTGTGTGAGAAGAAAAATGCTGTTTACTATATTCAAATATCTCTTTTCGTTCCAGAGATATTCAAGTTTTTAAAATATGCAAATCAGACGTCATGCACTCAACCAAATTTTGATCAAATATGATGAAAAAATATATCTCAGCCAATTTGTATCAGAAATGTTTGATTCTTTGCATTAAGATTCTACTAAATGTGCTCCACAATATGAGTTAACAGTTTGGTTACCATGGCAACATACTGAGTTCCAGACCTCCCCAATATTAAAGGCATTTCTGGCCACCTTTGGCATTCCATTTTGATATTTGCAAATGGTGCCTCATATCCTTGATCCAGCAAGCACATAAATATGTTAGCTCAAGTCTGTGGCTTCATTTAATGTTCTGCGAGTTGAAAATCACTAACATATTGAAATCAAGTGGGTGGGGACTGGAAAAGAGTGATTTGCCATGGGAACAGAATTTTTTACAGCCGTAGGTGTGTTTCCTGTAGAACTATTAGCCTATCAAGTTTCAATGGTCTGTAATACAAATTGACCAAGATAGCTTTATTTATATACTTGATATAAAATTGGGTTGAGTGTATGACGTCATCAGTCATCTCGTTCGCATATTTTACACATTTTTCAAACTTAAATATCTCCGGAACTAATGCAGATATTTGCAAATGGTAAACAGCGTTTTTATTCTTTCATGGAATTCCATGTGATACACCTAAAAAATCAAGGGGGAAAAATTTGATCACAGTAAGTTGCATGTTGAGAGATAAACTGAGAATCAGAAATCTAGAAATTTTTTCTTGTGAGGAACACCAAAAGAACACCCTCAAAGCAAGGCAACCACAGTGCCAGAACAATAAATTAAAGGGGTTTCCAACTGAAACATTACACTATTCTAAAAAAGTCTCACCAGAGTATGCATTCCACAATTCCACTATAGAATATGACATACTGATTCAGCAGAGAATGTCGATGAGAGTGAAGCTTGTAAAGCTTGGAGAAAAACAGAAATAAGCATATTCAGTAAGAAAGCTTTCTCTTCAACATAGTTTGTTTGACAACAAATAACAAAACTGCATTCAAAGAGGTCCAACACTTACTGTAAAAATTGTAATTGTTACAATAACATAAAAATCGATAACTCGGGTATCTTCAGAGATTGTGAAAGTTGTGATCAAATGTCAATAAGTCATTCAACCCTCTCTACCCAACCACATACTAGTAAATATGATGCTGGTGCAAAACCTTCACATATTACACTATAAAGCCTGAGGACTGATTGTCCAGGAAAAGTTTGACACCTAACCTCAGAAGGCTCACTACCACTCAATTTGGATTATGAAACCTACCAACTTAAATTTAACCTAAATACATGTATAACATTTTACCTTAACTGCACACACAAGACAGGTGATGATTGCCAGTATTGTTAAACAGCTATCCCTGATGTGCAAATGAAAATGTCTTCATTATTAATCATACTCTGTAAAAAACCAGCAATCTACCAAGGGAGCATCAGATTTCTGGTTTGCATGGGCCACAGAGATGAAAACAGCCCAAGAAAGAGGGACATGGAGAAGCCTTGTCAAAGTTATGTGTGATACTTGATAGAGCACGCATGAGAAAGTGAGTAACGACATAGGTAGTAGCATAACAAGACAGTTTGCTTTTGAATAGTTCACCATTATTGCTTTCTATCTGTCTAGACAAGGTACCAGTACTTACATTGTCTAATAAATTATTGATCCTCACTGGGGCATTTATCTAAACTAAACATCGTCTGGCTTCAATTTTTATAATTACCCTGACTAGAAGTAATCATTGTTGCAAGAGAGAAAATAAATAATCATCTAAGATAAATTTTATTACTTATAAATTAATAAATTATTAATATTAATGCTATAATCAATTGAATCCAATAATCAGTCATTACAAACTAAAACAATTATTTTACTTAGTATCACATAAACCAAGTCAAAGTTGGTTTTGATTTTGCTTTACACTAACCAATAACAGGGCTGTCAATAAGTTTTGAATCAACTGTAGCTTTGATCTCCACACCCCTAACAAAGTTGTTACCTTTTAGGTGAATAAAAATTGTATCAACTATAGTCCAGTTCACCTGTAACATCAAGGGCCCATCAAACATACTCAGCCATAGCAGGTGTTATAAGTTACTGCCCTCATTGACAGCCCTGAATTATGAACCAAATGCACCAGTTAATCAATATTTTCAGTCAGTCCAAAAGCACTCTTGACTACATATAGCTTTATAATGCTTACCTCACACACGAAGCAGTATTGAAAGTCTTGAAACATCCAGTGTAAGCCAAGGAGAGTTTTAGGGAGTCATTTCCATTGGACATGATTAGTTATTGTTTCTAGTTCTTTCACCTAGGCTACCTAGGAGGAAAGATACATCTGCCTTAAAATCAGTTGCTCCAAAGCAAAATCTGCCAGCAGTGATGGTTTACATAGTACACAGTACATGAACATCATTTGTTCTCACTACCAAGTGCTGACCAATTCTCATTGAACCAATCAACCAAGATGTTGGTCAGGTGTTGACCAAACAAATAGTGAGAGGAAAGCAAAAATACTTCCATTTCTCATAAATATTGAAAGGGATCCATAGAATGCAACTTCTGCTCTCCATTCAATCTTGCTAAAATTAGTAACATTGTTCACATCCTCTTAAAGGTGTTGTTTTATGAGCCAATTTTAAATGCCAATAATTTTTTAATCCATGTCATACAAGACACATTTTAACACAACTTTGTTGCGGCAACAGCCAGCAAGGGTATCTTACAAGAGATGACTCTTAATGCTGTAACATTTGTCTGCAACAACATTGCAGGTTTTTGAATGGGTTTCAAAAACCTGCAACATGTTGCCAAAACAAATGTTACAGCATTAACCTGTTACTGTAAAAGTCACCCTGTCCACAGTGTTGCACGATTATAGTAATTTTTAAGACAATATATGCTCATGTAACATTATGGATAGTAACATCACCTTCAGTCAGCTGAAGTGCAACCTTGAAAAAAAAACCTACAAATTCAGGCTAAGGGCTTTGATTTGCATTTCGAACCCTGTTGTGTAAACTAAAAATACTCAAAATTGATGACAACCCTCAAAAAGCTGTTTACAGGATACTAGGACACAAGATCCACCATGTTTTTTAAAACATATCCGTTAAAACGGATATGCAAATTTTCTTCAACGTAGTACATTGTCTTGTTGGCCATTGTGCTTTTTAGGCAGTTTATAAACCTCCGTATGTAAAGTCATTACAGCTGTTACAAGCATAAATGATGCTTAATGATAGCCAGATTACTTTGTGAGGAAATAAGTTTTAGTGTTAGGTCATCTACTCCAAAAAACTTCCTTGTACTTTCACTTTTAACCTGATGCACAAAGGGTCAACTAAAACCAGCTGATTTACATCAATTGTTTCCCATTAGACACTTGATTTGGGGTCTTTCTGTCTCGTCAACACATAAACAGAACAAACAATGACCATCTATTTCAAGAGCACGGCAAATGTATGTCGAGGGACGGAAATTGGACGTTGTCCAGGAGCTACAAGGGGTTAAATAGTATTCAATCAAATTCATGTTCTCGCACGTTCTCACGCGCGAAAACTCCGTGCGTGAACCAAAGGTGTCTTTTAAAAGTATTTTATAAAGGTTTTACGTAAATTATATGCGCACTTACCTACGGAATGCCGTATTTAAAAGGCATACTATGAAACGAAGAAAGCGAAATCTTTCAACAAACACTCTGCAAACACCACGAAGAAGCTCACCCACAGACGAATATTGCCGCGCCAGTCCCAAAGCACACTTTAGTATGACAACGAAACCCGACTAGAGTAGGGAAGGGATAAAACGTCATTTACCTCGCATCTGAAATTCTTTTGAGTACTAATACTATTTATTAAACTAATAAGAGTTACGAAGTATGGAAATTTAGCTCAGCATTTTTTTCCTGTTTAAAGTCTTGATCATTTTTAATTGTTATCTTTGCTTGAAATCTAAATTGCCCCAGGGGAGAGAGGGGCCTCGTGGATAATCCGCCTAAACAAAAAGTGCCAGGTTACTAAATATCTACCTCAAAATAAAAACATACCATATTTGAAGAGACCTCTTTCTTCCAGCAGAATGACACGACGAAACGAAGTATTTCACCTAGATTTCAACCAAGACCAAGGTAGATTTTACTATTATATATTCGTAAGTCCCTTAACGAGTGATCCTGTTGTTGAAAAATGGTAAACAGGGAATATTGTCTGGATTTTAGAAGCTTCCATGATAAATCAAATCTATTCTTGCATGCTTAAAAATTTACGTCTTGTTGTGTACGTCCATCATTTAAAGATCCATCTCTTACTCCTTTGTATCATTTGCTTACTCTTGCAGTTCTTTTCCAAAGGAAATAATTTGCGTGAAATGAGCTAAACGCGTTTTGTGATTTTTTCAACTGAATTTCTGCAAGAACTGATTGTTTGTGTCTTGACTAATAGGTTGTTTTGGCTGTACCATGGAGGGTGGGTTCAGAATATATAATGTGGAACCTTTATCAGAAAAGGCTCGTGTAGGTAAGTTTCTCATTACCATAAAATTATACATGGTATACAATGTGGAGTGTTTGATTTTACAGTGATGTTTCACTCTCATTTACATAATATTATAGACTAAATAAATCTAAATTATGTTCCTGAAGTAAAATGTATGTTAATCAGTAGCAGTATTAACCAGGCCCCAGTTGTTCGAAGGCTGGGTAACGCTATTCACTGGATAAATCACTAACCAGGGGATAGGTGTTAATAAAACATACCATGCTATCCACTGGATTGTGATTTATCCACTGGATAGTGTTAACCACCTTTCAAACAACCCAGGCCTGCATGGTTACTGCTAGCATCAATAAGAGGACTGGATTTGTTGCCTTATTAAACCTATATCTGTCATACATGCCAAATGCAGCTGTACATGTATAACAGATAAAATAAACTGTTTTAAGTTTTTAAATTTATGTGAAAATGATTACTTTTTGATAGCTGTATGAATCTTTCATTTCAGATTTGAGTGATCCATGTCAGATATCTCAGACGCACATGTTGCACAGATGTAACTTGATAGCCATTGTAGGAACGGGGCCAGGGGCAAAGTTTTTCAATGACAAAGGTGATGATTTCTTTGTATTTGGCTGTTCAACATTCTCAGAGAGGTGAACAAATTATTAAATTATTAGGGAGACAAGCAAAAGTTAATATAGCCCAATATATTCACTGGATTTTTCTGGGCTAATTTGTAGCTGTTCTTTCTATTTAATATAAAATTACCAACAAATAAAAAAAAAAACATTCTTAAAGCCTTGTGAAAGAAATTGAGACTCCATTCTAAGAGGCTATTGCAAAAAGAAATTCTAAATGGGTGGACTTACAAAATTGAGCTAAACTTCTGCAAGACACATCTGAATCCACCACCAATAAGCCAAAGAAGAGAAAGAATTGCTAAGATAGGGGAATGTTGACATGTCTTGTAAACTGTTAGAACCTCTTCAAGTAAATTACTAATTAGGACTTTTAGCCTTACGTGAAGGTGAGTCTGATCTTCATAAATTAACTTTGGTAAACTCATTTTCCCATTTCTAGTTTATATCTGGGATGATGTTCTGAAAAAGCTTGTGATTGAACTCTCATTTGGTTGTCCTGTTGTAAGAGTCAGACTAAGAAGAGACAAGTATGTTTTCTATCATTGCATATTTTTTGTACCAGTCTTATGTACATATAACACTTACCCAAGCGAAATACGAGTTCAGATTCGGGAATATATTTAATAATATTTAAAGCATTCAAGTTTTCTTACATAAACTCGCTAGTAACAGTCTACATGTACAATACCAATGCATTGCTTTTTTTTGTCATTTGTACCTTTAGGCTTTTTGTGGTGCTGAAAACAAGAATCCAAGTATTTTCATTTCCTAAAGATCCAAAATTGTTGTTTTACTTTGACACAAAAGAAAATCCCAAAGGTATGTTTTCTGTACTAGTAATTATTTAATCAGTACCAAACTGAATAAAAAATAACAATGAGAATATCAAACAAATGATAATTGTATTTAAATAATAACAGTATTTATTTAAAGTTTCTTTGTTGCTCTTGAAATGAGTTCAATACACAGGGTAATAAAATTATGTTTTATGGGTAATGTTCAATTCTAGTTATTGTTTACTGACAATCTTGTGTAATATGCAGGCCTCTGTGAAGTATGTCCAAGTACTGACAGACCCTTGATGGTTTTCCCCTCACACAAATGTGGCAGCATACAGCTTGTCGTAAGTTATCTTGGGAACTCACAAATAATTTCCTTGTGAAGAAAGTAAATGTGATGCTCTTTAGGGGTATTTGGTTACTATAACTTCTTTCTGGCAGTTATGGATCTTTTAGTCTTGTGTTTTGTCCAGATATTACATGTTCCTAATAATTTAAGACTCTGGCTTTCTACCTTTTGTTCCATTTCCTCGTGGAATTTTTTTTTTCTGCTCTAAAATATATTTTTGATTCTTTTCCCTTGATTTCAGAGGAAGATTGGATTATTTTATAATACAAAAATTTCACTTACCCAGTTTCAAATAAGGTTTGATTTCTAGCAATTGGGGGGGTGATCCACATGCAAACTCTTAACAAATTATGGCTGGAGGTCAAACCTAAATTTCAGTCTAGAACCTGACAAGTACACTTTAAGTCCAGCTTAAAGTCTTAGTCCACATTAATTTTTTGTGTGTGAGAATCAAAGCTAAAACCCAACTTTATTTTGACTTCCTGGTTCCTCTTCTCACTCATCAGGATCTGACAAACAGACAGCCTGACACGTCAACTGCACCATTTACAATTAACGCACATCAAGGCGAACTGGCCTGTCTGGCCATCAACCAACAGGGTACCCAGGTTGCCACAGCTTCTGTAAAGGTCTGTGTCTGAACTGTTTTGTTTCTTTGTTTCAGTTTTGTTATGTTTTTTTATCCTAACCCCAAGTCCCAGCCACTGATTCTTCATCTGCTTGTGAGAGCTTCAACTGTACATGTATAATGATTATAATACAGGTTTAGAGTACATCATAATACAGTTGAACCTCTATTTAACACCCAAGTCGCTAGTGGAGGGAAGGTGCCTACGAAGCCCGGGGGCTGCAACCGCAGTCACATCCCCAAGGCGCTAGAACACCCGACTGGCCTGC